CGAGAATTTAAAATAAAGTCAAAAAAGAGGAGTGAGAATTAAAAAAAAATTTTAGTTAAAAAATAAATAAAATAAATATATGTATTGCGAAAAATAATATTTGGGTTTGTTCAAATAAAAAAAGATTTAAATCGGTTAATTTAAAAAATTAAAAAAAAAAGAAATTTAGAGAAAATAAATGACAAAAAAATTAAAATCAGAGTGTTTAACAAGGAATTTAAATTAGTTGAAAGGGGAAACTGTTTCATTCTTCGACCAAAAATATTTTTTGATCAGAAAATTAAAAGAAAATTAATTGAGAAATTTAAAACTGAATTAAAAATGAATTTTATTTATATAGGAAAAAATAAAATAAATTCAGAAAAGTTAACAAAAACAACAATTATTACCATATATGCTCGAATAGAGCAGATGTGGGTCGGAATTCCAACTTCCGACGTTTTTTTCATTCCGATTTCCGAAAAAAATTTTGATTTCCGATTTCCGTCACCTCTGACTGTTAGGACCCACCATTGTGAGGAGAAAACAACAATCATACCCTGGGTGATTATTTGAGTATATAAGGGTAACAACTATTTAGTTCTTCTTTTTTTAGTTAACATAATTAATTAAATTTTTAATATAAAAAATTGTTTGAAGTTTTTGATTTGAAATTTTGATAAAAAAATATTTATTTTAAATTAATTGCCAAATAAAAGAAAAAAATATTTTATTAAAATAATAAATTAAAAAAAGTACCTATTTTAATTTTAATGTGTTTTGTCTTTATCATTAAAAAGAAAATTTTTCTTTTTTAATTGTTTAAAGATAAAATATTGTTTAAATAAAATATTTAACAATTTTAATGAATTATAAAATAAATTTTGGAAGGGAGGATTGATAAAAAATAATTAATTGTGAAATTAAAATAATATATAAAAACATTTCTAGTTAAAAATTTAGATTATTATTTTTATTAATTAAAAATAACGTAAATCTTCTAATAGAAGCACACCCTACGAGAGGATCGACTTCTATTAGAAGATTTACGGTATATACATAAATATTTTTGTCAAAAATAGAAAAAATATATTTTTTTTTAAAATACCAAAAAATATATCAAAGTTAAAAATACACACACACAAGTATGCTTGTACTAAAGAAGAAGAAGAATTAAAACAATTTCTTAAAATAACTAAATATTTTTAAAATAATTATTTATTTATTTCTATTTTTAAATATTTTAACTTTAATCTTTTGCCTATAATTTCCGTCTTTTAAAAAATTTTTTCCCCTTTTTTCAAAGTTTTTTTGACGTAAAGGAGAAAGAAAGGACTTTACAAAAAATATATATCCGTTCCTTTCTCTCTTGAGAAAAAAGAGAAACAATCAATCTAATTGAAAAAAAACGAAGAAAAAGCTTAAATAAATTCTAAATGGAAAAGACAGTTGTTTTGGAACAGGAAGAAAAAAATAAATAAAAAATGAAGGAGATAGAATTTTTGTTTCAGATATTTTAGTATGGAAAGAATAAACTAAAAATATTTTTATTTTTATAAATTATCAAGCTATTTTTGTAATTTAAAAATAATCAAAAATAAATAAAGAAACAAAAATTCTAAAATTTGGATTTCCAAACATGCATAGAATTACTAAAAGGAAACTTTTAATCGAGATGTGCATATGTATATGGATTTAATTTAATTTTGGATTAGCTACATTAAAAATTAAATAAAATTTCAAACTCAAAATATTTCTTAACTTTTTGATAATTTGTTGTTAGGAGCTAAGGGGATATTAAGTAAAAAGAATAAAAATAATTTTAAAAAAATGATAAAAAGTTTTGGGGAGGTTTTTAAATATTTTTATGGAATATATTAATAATAAATATGAAAAAGAGGAAAATAAATAAATGATTAATATATTATTTTTTTATAAAAATCAAAACATTTTAAAGTACGTAAATAATAAAAATATATTTATTTATTAAAAAAAATATAATCAAAACACGCAATCCCCCCCCTTTTTATTTAATATTAAGGAAGTAAATAAAAAGATAAAAAAAAAACTAAAAAACAAAAATAAAACGCAAAGTTGGGAATAAAATAAAATATTGTTGTTATTTAATAATAAAAAATTATTATTGTAGTAATTAAATAAGTTTGTTTTTTAGTCAAAGAAAGATTTTATCTACATATTCACCCAAGAATTTTTTTAATAATTATTTTCAATTAATTATTTTTATATTTGGTCTTTAAAATTTTTTACAAAAAATTTTAACAAAAAATTAAATTTAAAAAAATTAAGAAAACAAATCAAAACAGAATACCTAACCTACTTTTATTTTAATTGGCCAAGAGGGGTGGATAAAATCAAAATATGTATAATACATGTTTTTGTATTCTGATGTATGTAGAAATTTTTTGAAGAAAAATTATTTTTATAAATTTCTAAAATTGCAATTATTAAACAAAATTTAATTTATATTTTTTAAAAATTAAATTAAATAATTTCTAATATGTATATATTAAATGCCCTTTTATATTTAAAAAAAATTAGAAAAAGCTTGTGACAAATAAAAATAAAATGAAAAAAAAGTTTTGTCTGTTAAATAAAAACTACTATTGAATCAACAAAAGCAAATATATAAATCTATTGTTCAGACAAAAATTGAAATAAAGTTTAACAGAAAATTGTCTAATAAAACGGAAATATAAATAATAAAAATATATTTTCTAAGTACATATTTCATTAGTTTAAAATTTATTTATTTTTCAAAATTTCAAGGAAAAAAAGTTTTTTAAAAATTATTTTAATTTAAAATCTACAATTTTTTGTTGTTTCTCAAAAAAAATTTTTAAATTAGAAATTTTGCTTTCAAATTTTTATAAAAATTTTCTAACAAATAAAAATAATATTTGAGAATGCTATTGACGGAATTGAAAAAAATTTAGTTAAAGGATACAACAATTTTAGGTTTTGTGATAAAAGGTTTCTTAAACTTAATAATTCTTTCTTCTCAATACTGAGAAAATTATTTGTACCCACCCTTGTTTTGACATTGTTTGAATCAACTAGAAGAACTGATTAAATAATATAAATGCCAAAAACTGAACTTATATGTATAGTATCGTTTAAATCATTCAAATTTTTAACTAAATTTTTTGCCGACCTTTAAGAAAAATTTAAAGGCTAATATTATATTACATTAATTAAGAGTGTAGCGAAAAAAATAAATGTCCTTATTTTAACTGTTATGTAAAAAACAGAAAACAACACGAAATTGCCAAACCTTGCTTAAAATATTTTTCGAAGTAATGTATAATAATACTCGTTTATTTTTCTATTAAGAACAGACAAATGTGAAAGAATATATTCTAATTATTCCAAAAAATATATAAAAATAATTCTAACAATTGTTTTATTTTGTTTTAAATTTTCTAAAAATAAGAACAAAAAATAAAACTAAACCTTAAGGAAGATTTAAAAGGTTGACGTAAATAAAAAGCTTAAAGTATTTTTAGATGTTTCTAAAATCCTCTAAAAATTTTAGCAAAAATATTTTTTAAAAATATTCTTTTTATTTATTTTCTAAATTTTGCAAAAATAAAGTTAAGAATTAAATAAATAAATTTTAAATAAATGTTTGTTTGTGTATTTGTTGTTGTTATATATTTTTTAAAATAAATTTTTATGTTTATTTTTTTTTGTTTGTTTTGCTAAAAATATGAAGAGATTTTTGTTTTGTTATTGCAAAAATTTTATTAGAATTTTTAGAGAAAATTAGAGATAATTTTAAAATAAGAGAAATAAACATATATTTTTATTGGATATTTTTAAATAAATATATTTGTGAATTTTAAAGAAAAAAATATATTTAAATTTGCAAATAAGTAAATAAATAAAAATATATTTTTACAAAGTTAAAGTGTTGGGAATATGTAATTATTAGGAGTAAACTTTTAAAAATATATTTGTGTTTTAAAGTTACTAAAGTTAAAGAATAATATATTTAAAAATCAGATAATTAAGGAATTAATTATTTAACTAATTTTTATTATTTAAAATAATTTCATAAATTATTTCCTCAATTTTAAATTTTGTATTTTAATAAAAACACAATTAAATTAACTTTTTGTATTTAATTTAAATATATTTGTATAGGAATTTAAATATAAAAATGTGTATAGTTTAATAAAAATTAAAATAAAAAAAGTCAGTAAATTAATTAAATTAAATATTTAATTAAATTAAAAATAAATTTAAAAATAAAAATATTTTTAAATTAAAAATCGAACACATATTTTGATTATTAAAAGAAAACAAATATGTACTATTATGATAGTTTTTGATAAGATATTAGACTAAGAATGCCAAATTGACTAAAAAAACTTTTAAGATTTTATTAGAGATTAACGGAAATTAGAATAATATAAATCTAAATATTTTTTAATAAATAATTATTTTTTCTAGTTCAAAAATATATTTTAGACTGGCATGGCAACAATTTATATATTTATATATTAATTTATTCCCCTCCCAGTCTTTACTTCCTCGTTTTCATCTTTTTTTATTTTCAATCGTCAAGTGCGGCGCCGCGGTTTGTCGTAGCTTTATAAAAAAATACCAGGAAAGAACACATAAAAATAAATGGAAAAGCAGGAACAAAATATAAAGAAAAATAAATTCGAGACAAAATTAATTTAAAAATAATAACAAAGGAAAACATAAGGAAATAAACAATTTTTTTTAAATAATGAAAGAAAAATAAATATTTTTGTCTAGTAAAAGAATTTTATTAACAATTAATTAAAAAATAAATTTGAAATATTTTTAAATATAAAAATTAATTAAAATAATTAAAAGGAAAGGTGCCACAAATACATAAATGCCTAGCTGTGCCTGGAAATGTAGATTTTGTTCGTACTTCGTACCAGGTACGAGCGTCCAAGAACTGATGCCTAGTCTAGATATATTAATTATAATAAATATTTTCCCAAAAAAACTTTAATAATATATTATTAAAAAATAAATAAAAGCACGTAAATATATCCCCCCATCCATCCATTTTTTATTTTTTTAAAAGCCCCATTTGTGTGTGAATAAATAAAAATAAATGTAAATGACAAGTGAACGTTTATTTTTTTTCTCCACTTCATTCCTTTTCCTCCTCCTCTTTTTTTGTTGCTATATTTCCCTTCCTTATTTCCAGACAACAGAAAATAGGAAAAGGGCGGAGTTTTTTTAACAAAAACAGGCGAGAACGGGAAAATACATTTTTTAATATTTTTTTTTCTGAATACGGGCGTGCGGTTGTCACGAGTGAAGATAAGACCAAAGGCCATTTGACTAGTAAAAATAAAAAGACGAGATAGAAGAAAGTAAGAGGGAATGTTGCTATACATGAATATATGTATTGATAAAAAGAATTTATAGAGGAAACAGTAGACACAAATGAAGGAAAAAATACGAGAGCAACAATTACCGAATTTCTTCAAATAGTACGGCCGGCCGTACTATTTTTTAACCTTCCTTTAAAGGGCAGTACTTATAGAGGGGAAAGTAATATTTGGGGAAAATATTTTTTAAGAGTTGACTAATACATAAATTCAAAAAAATATTTTTGTTTTCAAATTTACAAAATTTTATTTTTTGTTAAAAAATTTGAAATAAGCCCCAACAATTAAATATTAAAAACCCCAAACAAGACGTAAAACCTGCAATCCTTCATGGCCCAAAATTAAATTAAAAAAGAAATTCAAAAATATTTTAAGAACTTTTAATTTTGGGAACACTTTCTATTTAATTTTACTTGATTGTTTTACTTTTCTAAAATAATATCCCCTAACAAATGGCAACAAGTATGTCGCCAAAAATAAAGCAATTTACGGCCTTGTCAGTTTTTCAGGAAAAAAAGTAAAATAAAAAAAACATTTTTCAAAAATATAGAGAGGAAGACAATTGACGTGTGTTGCCATTAAAAAAGTAAAAAAACCAAAGAATATTTATTTATACACAAATACTCCCGTGGGCGGTAATAAATTCATAAAAAGCAAAACCCCAAAAAAGAATTTTTTATCCACAAAAATGTCCAAATGTCAATATAAAAAATAAAAGGAGATATAAAAGATATGTATGTATTTAATTATGTGGTATGTAGTAGAAAAGGATTATTTTGATTAAAAACATAAGAATAGAATAAAAATAAAGAAAATTATGAAAATTTTGAAAATAAAGTTTATTAAATAGAAATCCAAAGAATATTCCAAAAAATATTTTAATGTCTTATTTTAGGTAGATTATGTATTTTATTAGTAATATATTATTAATTATTTTTGTAATTTAAGATTTTTTTCGGAAAATTTTTTTTGATAAATTGAAAATTCCGATTAAAGCAAAAATACATATATTTTTATATTTAATTAACTTTCAAAAATAACCTCAACAAAAAAAATTAATTAATAAACTTAGCAACTAATTTTTAATTTTTTATAAAAAAATAAGGAAGTATTTTTTATTTTTTGTTAAAAAAGAATAAAAATTAGCAACGAAATATACTTTTTATATTTTTTTAAGAAGCATTTCCGCGTCTATTTATGGGCAAAAAATAATAATAAAAGAAAAAAGGAAGGGAGATTGTTGCCGTTAACGGGCATTTTCTTGGAATTAAAATAAAAGAAAAAGTACTAGATAATTATTTTTTGTATTAATAAAAGATCAAAAATTAATAAATTTTATACAAAAATATTTAATTTAAAATATTACCAAAATTAAAATTAATATATTTTCTCATTCCCTATTTAATCTTAATTTATTAAAAAATACCTAAATATTTAAAAAAAAAACCAAAAAAAAAATATGTATTTTTTTAATTTTTAAAAAATAAAATATTATTTAAATATTAAAAAATAAAAAAATATATATTTATATAAAATGTCAATATTTTTTTATTAAAAAATTCCTCATGTGATTTATTTTTTTAGATTTCTTTTTATTCCTTTACTTCCCTTTTTTTAATAATAAAAAAATAAAAGAAGAACTTTTTTATTCTCAAAAAAATAAATGAGAAAAAAAACTTTTTATTTTTAAAAGAAAAAAAAATAAAAAAATAGAGAAACAAAAATTTAATAAATTAATTAATTAAAAAAATATTTTTTAAAAAATTATTTATTTAAAAATAAGCAAAAGTTTAAAGCACTAAATAGTCCAAAAATAATTTTAAGAAAATAATTTATTAAATTGCCGGATATGTGGGGGAATTTGTTATAAATAAAAGAAAAAAATCAAAAATCTTATGATGGAATTTATTAAGTAAATGGAAGGATTTATACGTATAAATTAATAAATATATAAATTAAAAAATTGTTCATAAATAGAAAATATTTTTATGAAAAAATTAATTAAAATAATTTGGTAAAAAATTATTTTTTTTATTTTTAAAAAAAGTATCACAAAAAAGTGAATTTTTCCCACCTTTTTTACACTATAATATTAAAAATTAAATTCCAAAACTCTTTAAATAAGGATCCTTCATATTAAGCTAACAATCTTCTTAAAACAAAAATTTTTAGGGGACTTTACACTTAATTTAAAATTTAAAACATAAAATAGAAATTAGTTTTCCCCTTTAAAATTTCCTTTTAAAAAAATTATCTAATAAATTTCAAAGTCTTGACATTTCTAATTTTTGTAAGTTTTTCTATTAAAATATTATTTACTTTAATTTTTTCACCAACTTTATCCTTTATGTACTAAAAAATATTTATTTATTTGTCAACCTAATTCCTATTCTATTTTCAAAAATAGTGTCTGGGTCATTTTAACGTTTTTTTGTGTCATAAAAATAATTAAAATTTAGAACAAATCAGAAAATTTGTTAATGACATTAATTAATTCGGAAGGAAATTTAGAAAAAAATAATAAATATTTATTTTTTCCTATAAAATATAAATTATTTTTTAATTTTAAAATAAACATTTAATTATTTGTATGTACTTTTTTGGGAAAAATTTAAAATTAAAGAAAAACTCTTAAATAGAAAATTATTTTAAAATCATTTGATTGTATTTAAAAATGTAAAGATTAAAATAAGGAAATCCGGTTAAAATATTTAAATAAAAATATTCAGAGGGAAACTCTCTTAATCAAACTTTTTCGGATATAACTAAACACTAAAGGAAATTCTGATAAATTCGCCTTGATCCAGGTATATTTGATTGACTGTAATTGTTTGAAAAAACTGTCAAATTAGATGTTAATTAGGAATGTAGATAACCAAAAAACGGAGAGGTTCAAAACTTATGATGTGAGAAAAATAAATAAATAATGAAAGTGCTTGAATCTTAAATATAAATAAATATATGACTAAATAGAACAAGGAAAAAAATTTTGAAATAATTTTGTAAAATTTAGAAATATTTTGTTTCCTCCCACCCTCTCTCTAACAGACAGAAAATATTTTTAAAAATACATATTTAGTTAAAATATTAAACAACTACAGTAAGGATTTATTTACAAAAAATATTTTTAATTAAAATAAATTGCGGAAAATTTTTGTAGTAATTATTTAATAAAGGTGTGGCAATAAAATATATTTTTTAAAAGATATATAAATTGTTGTGATAACAAATATATTTATATGAAAGTAGAAAATAAGGAGAAGAAGATGAACAAAAATTAATTTTTTTTTTGGTTATGTTCTTTGATGTTTTGTATATAAAATTAAAATATTTTGGCGCTGAAATTGTTTCTCTCTAAATATTTTTTTTTGGAATTTTTTTGGCAATTTAATATTTAATATTTACTGATAAGGAATTTTTATAAAATAAAAATGATTGAATAATGAGACTGGAATAATAAATAAAAAATAAATAAATTATTTATTCATTTATAATTTATTGCCAATCAAATAATTTTTTTTGATATTTTTGCAAATTAATTTTTAAAAATAAAAATTTAAAATACAGAAAATTTAAAAATGAAAATTATTTTAATTATTTTAATCTAAAAACGTTATTAAAAAATGAAAAGAAATTTTAATTTTTTAAAGGAATTCAGTAAAACCAGCATCTTCAGTAGACCGGACTGGTGATCCATTACACCAATCCGCCTACTGCACAGCCTTAGGAAAGGCCTTATTTTAGGAAAGGCCTTTTCTGCCATACAATTCTCTCATAATAAAAATTGGTCTCCCCTCGATTAAATGATTACCTATTAACTTAATCCATTGGTTTTTTCGGGCCCAATAAAAGTATAAATTTTATACAAATCTAAAAAGGTCCCGGAATTTTTCATGCCATTATCCCAAATATTTTATTTGAATCAAACAATTTTTGAAAAAGAGTTCACTAAAAGTTCAATATGAAAAATAAATAAAATAAAAATTAATTTTTAATCTAAAATACCTACTTAACTATCTACAAAAATTTTACAAAAATCAAAACAAAAATATTTCTTTTTTTTTAAATACAAACTGGTTATTGCAAATAAATAAATATTTTTAAATATTTTTATTTATTTAAAGTATTTGGATACGCTTATATAGCCGTTACTGTTTGTATGTATTATGACAAAAATTTGGAAAAAAATATTTTTGAGTTAATTTTGTAGAAAAATAAATAAATAAATTATTAAAAAAATGAAGAAAGTAAAGAAAATATTGTGGGGAAATTAATATTTCTAATTTAATTAAAATTTGTTTTTTTTTACAAGATAATATATCTAAAAATCATATTAAACCTAAAAATTTATTAGATATTATTCAAACTAAATTTTTTGATAAAAGAAAACAATCTCAGAACTTGTTAAAATAAGCATATATTTTTTAGTTTATTTAGAAAAACAGTACAAATTTTAATAAATATTTTTTTATTTACTTAAAGTTTGCACAAAATTATTTTACAAAAATATTAAAAACACACACCTCTCTCTCTCAATAATATTTTAAATTTTCATGACTGTCCAAAAAGTATTAAATATTTATTTTTATTTAACGAAAGAAAAGGTTAAAACATAAAATAAATTCTTGCAAAAATAAATAAATATTTATTTAATTAACACAAAAACACACTTTTAAACAAATCAAAACACAAATTTAGACAAAAAAGGAGAATATATTCAATCACTCTAACTTTTTTTTCTTATCACAATCAACCAAACATAAAAAGTATTTTAAATATTTAATTGAAAAAACAAAATAATTTTTAAATCTAGAAAAAATTGGAATATCGAAATCCACTGTTAGGAGCAGAGGTGAATAGGAATTGACGAAGATTCCGGAAATCGGAACTGTCGGCGCCGCAGACGAAAATTTTGAGAATTCTGGGAAAATATTCAGTCGGGAATATGCTTCAAAAATTAACAGAAGTCGGAAATCGGAATTCCATTCACCTCTGGTTATGAGTGAATTTTGACAGCGAAACATATTTAAAAATTTAGAAATAAATAAATTTTATTTTGAAATACCCCCAAATTTATTAATTTAAAAAATAATAATTCATTTATTTATTTTTATTTTTTAAAATAAATTCTCGTGATTTTGATATTCTAGAAAAAAAGAGTTAATATTATTAAATGTAACAATTTACTGATATAAAAATTGAGAAAAAAAAAAGAAAGTCAAATTAATGTTCTTTTTTGTGTTGATTTGGCAATTAAATATAAAGAATTAATTTATCTAAAAATGTTTTGTTGCAAAGGAAATTGTGATAAATATAAAAATAAAAAATAAATCAGTTGATCTTTATTTTATTAAATTAAAGAAAAAAATGTTTAAAAAAATATTTATTTATTTATAATTAAAGATCAGATTGAGATGAAATCTCAGAAAATATCTCGATTATGAAAAATTAGATAAAAAAAATTTGGATATCAATATTCTTTGACATATCGATCTCGATTATCATTCGATACTCCCAATTCATTTTTATTTAAAAATATTACTTTATATAATTTTAGTATATACTAGAGTTGCACGAGATCGATATCTCGACCGAGACCGAGACGAGAATCTCGGCCATTTTCCAATCTCGGTCTCGGTTTTGCCGAGACGAGACAACCTAACCGAGACGAGATTCTCGGCACTTAATCTCGCCGAGATCCGAGATCAGTATACACCCCTAAAGATTGACCTTCTTGAGATTTATTTTTATTTTGACAAAATATTTAAAATTTCGCTATTGGTATATTGTTGTGCTCACTTTAATTTAGTTGTCTAGAGAGCGGAGCAGGACAAATAAGCGCGGCCGAATACACATCAATCTTCGCGGAAAAAAGTTTTTGTCGCTGCGGGGGAAGCCGGGCATGTCGAGCGGAACGACGGCCGCCGCTTCGCTACGGTCCCCGCGACCATTCCTTACCTGGGACCATTCCTTACCCTATTCTTCGAAATTTCTTAAGGTTATAATCTTTTTATGAAATTTTTAAAAGTCGGCTATATCTTTCAGAAATTTCGAGTAATAGGGCACGGAATGGTCCCAGATCAAGTGGACGTAGGCCGGCCAAATTCAATTTGGACACGAATGTAATTTGGATACACCGTATTTCTTCTAATAGTGCGACTGTCTCTAATAGACCGACCCCTTCTAATAAACCGACCCCGTAGAGGAAGGTTTAAAAATAAACCTACTGTCTCTATCAGACCGACCCCTTCTAATTAACAAGTGTCCCCTATCCTTTATACTTAATTCTTTCTGAAGAAATGGTGGAAAAAATTCTAGTTGTAAAGGCAAATATGGATAAACTGTTGCTTGGTCCACCAACTGAAATTGATTCTGATGAAACAGATGATTTTGATGACGATTTAGATGATATTTAATTAATTTAAATGGGTTTTGGTGGATAAAAAAAGTTTTGAAAAATCTCGGTTTATCTCGGATCTCGATATCGGTCTCGGGTCAAATTTTGCATCTCGGTCTCGGTCTCGGTCATGCGGGTCTCGGTCAATCTCGGTCTCGGATTTTTTCTAAAATCTCGATCTCGTGCAACTCTAGTATATACTACTTTTATTTAAAATAAAAATTAATAAATTTATTTTCTAAAATTATTTTTTATTAAAATTTTATTTTTGCTTTTATTAAAAATCACACCACTTTTCCATTATGCAACAAACACTAAATGTTTTTAATCATTTAGTTGATCTATTTGATGGACGGACGTGACGCATGATTAAATATATATTTAAGTTATTATTATTTTTTGTTGTTGTTCTTTACTCAAATATTTAATTATAATTATTTTTAATTTATAATTACTGTAAATTCTCCAATAGAAGCACACCCTCTAATATAAATTTGTAAAAAATATAAAAATTCAAAATTTCCACAAAATATCAATTTTATCATTTCAAATAAAAATACATTTACAAAAATTTAATTTTTCTTTATAAAATCACTTTTTTAAATAGCAGTTCCACGTTCCAAATCTTCTTTAATATTTGCAGTATATTTTCCATAATAACGTTCCAATTTATGATTAAATTTACGATTACGTTCATTAATAAAGTCGATAGGTGCATCTGGATCAAACATACGTCTACGATGATATTGATCTCGTTTTTTCATTCTTAAATAATTTTTTTAATTATAAAAAATGTTTGAAAAATTGAAGGAATTTTTTGAATTTAAAATTGCCTTCTATTTTTAACGCCAAAAATTAGAAAAATTTAAAAATATTTCTAGATATTTTTTTTCTAAATATCTTTAGAACAATTCAGTTAGTCAGCTCCCCAATATATTTTATTTTAAATTAAAAAATATTTAAAATAAATTTACTGATTGTGAACATCTTCAGAAAGGCGATCCAATGCTTTATCTGTTGGATAATGAGAACCTTGAATGAGTGTATTAGCTGATGGATAAAATTGTTCTTCTCCTCTATAAAAAATATATTATAGTTTAGTAGACAATTAAATTAAAATATTTATTTACTTACACAACTTCTTTCATTTTTTGATAAGACTCCATGTCCGGTTTAATTGAATTTGTCTGACGTTCATATTGACGAAGAGACATCGCCTCGTAACCTAAAAGTTAAAATATAAACAAAAAATTTTTTATTTAAAAATAAAATTTAACAAACTAGCAAATCCCGTGTCTGGATTATTTTTTCGCCTTTTAGCCGTTTCCATCTTTTCTGCCACATCAGCTTGTGTATCCAAAGCCTTCAAACGTTCAAAATCTTCGCCTCTCTCCTCTGCTTTCTAAAAATAAAATTTTTCAAAATTATTTTAAAATTCAAAAAAACCTTTTTCGCTTCAAGTTCTGCCAATTCCCATTCTTGTCGTCTTCTCTTTGCTTCAAAATTAACTGGCAATTTTGAACGTCTATCTTCTTCAACTACTTGTTCATGATTTATTTTTCTGGATTCCTCCTAAAATTTAAATTTTTATTAATTATCCTTATTAAATTGGGACATTTACCCTTTTCTGGTGAAGAGATTTGAAGCGTTCCTTGAATTGAGCCAAACTTGCTTTTGAAACGCCTAAATCAATTTTAGCATTCATAATAAACAAATCTAAAAATCGTTTTAGGTTCAAATTGAAAATTAGTAAAAAATATTTTTAAAGTTATTGTTTAACATTTAAAATAAAAATATTATAGAAAATAATTTTATTTAAAAAATTTCTAAAAATCAAAGCGGCAACATTTCTCCAACTCCAGCTCGATCCTTATTAATAAAATCAATGTTCATCTTGTTTGCATTTCCTCTTCTAGTTTGTTCTAATCTTTTCTCATCCGCATCTTCTTCATCAGTAAATAAAGTAGGAAATTCTGCGACAAAATCCTTCTAAAAATTACTTTTTAAAGAAAAAATGAATTTCTTAAAAATTTTATGAGGATTTTTTAAAAAATAATTTTATTGATCTTTCAAATTAATCATGTTAAATACCTTAAAGAAGACAAAAGCAATTTTCTTGTCCTCATCCTTCCAAATTGCTTTTCTCTTTTGTTTATCTAATGGATGATCCCAAGTGATCTTTCCTTCCACATTTCTTAAACGAACTTCACGCACAGGGAATTTGTAAATTTTTTCCAAATATTCTCGAACATCTTAAAAAATTAAATTTAATTTAAAAATATTAAATTCTTTTTATTTGAATTGGAAATTGCCAATAATTTCACCCAAAATCGAGAATCAAATTTTACACAAAATAAAACATTATTTCCAAATTAAGCAAACCCCGAAAACCCCATTAGAATTATTTTTGAATTTTACAAAAATTAAATTACCAAATCGAGACATCCTCAGATCCACTTCAAACATTGCAGCATTCTTTGGTAATCGCATATACCCAACTTTGTGCGGTTCCAAAAGTTTTATCCAAAAATCAGGCAAAAAGACACGAGGTCTTCCATCACCAGGAAACCAGAGTCTATGAATTCTTGATGTCATTCTACATTTATAGAAATATTTAAAAAATGTTAGAAAATAAAAAAGGTAATAAAAGGATATTTGTAAATCATAAAAATAATTAAAATTTTATTTTAAAAGTATATTTAACAAAATTTTTAAAAAGAATTAAAAATTTAAAAATAAACAAAAATAATTTAAAATTTAATAGATTTAATTGTACTAACACGAATTCCTCTCTTTTCACCTCCATATCGATCAATTTCGCGTCGCAAATCAGGCACCTTGGATTAAAATGAATGATAAGGATCTTACATCAACAAAAACCTGTGATCGTTTCTTTATCATTGCTTTGTGAAACTTTCTTCGATTAACAATACGAGCATGCCTTTTGACCTTTTTCCGTCCTCTATCTTTTGGAATACCTTTATTTTTTCTCATCTAAAATAAAAAAGAAATTTTGAAGCTGATAATTCTAGCCATTTTTTCCTTCGCTAAACGACTTGGCTTGAAGAAAATAGAAAAATAAGGTGAAATAGAGGTCTGAACATTATGTGTCTTTTGAAAAAAAAGCAAATAATCAGTCCAAAAATTTAAAAAAATATAGAAATAACCTCATATGTTATTTTTCTCCTCTCTCTGCCAGAATCATCTTTATTTTCTTGTTTAACATCAGACTCACTCACAGAAGAAACGGAATTTTCAGAATTAGAATCGTCATCACTCTTAATTAAAAAATTAAATTGATTTAATAGAATGCAGTTAATTTTAAGGGAAGACAATTGAATAATTCAAAGGAAAATGAATGCAAAAAATCCAACCTCGTCTATAATTTCATCCTCGTTCTCTTCCCCATCCAATGAATTACTTGTAACTGCCGGGTGTTGAACTTCAATTTGAAGTAAATCAGCAAGGCCACATTCCTCACCCGCATCATCATTCTCTTCAGAATTAATCAACTCAAAATCTTTTCGAAAAAATTGATTGAAATCCAGGCAGGAATTTGCATTTTCTAATTTTATTTGGCGAGCGATTGCGTCTTGTTCTTCTAATTGTAAAGCTTCTTCCTCGTCAGAATCATGAATTGCTCCACCATAATCACCATCTACATAGGACGTCCCATAATAATTACGGCGTAATTTCCCCCATTTATTGCTAGTTATTTGATTATCTTTTTGAAAAAAATTAAATTAAAATAAAAAAATAAATAACCATTATTTAGACTTTCCTCTCCATCAGAAAATCCTTCTTCATCTTCAGAAAAATCTTCATCAGAAATAACCCTTAAAACTTCTTTTGCTAAAGGTTTCTTTGGTTGTTTAACAATTTTTAAAAGCTTTGCATCGTATTCAGCGTGAAATTTGTCAATTTCATCAAATACTTCGTCACCATCATCGACTTTTTGAGAAAGCACGATTCTAGAAGAACCAGAATTCTTAACACTAAAATTAAACTTGAATAAAAATCTAAAAATTAAATACCTACATTCTTTTCTTTTTATGTTTCCGTTTCCCCATTATCTGAAATTTAGTAGTCAAAAATCTAAAAATTATTGATCAAAATGTGGATAAGGCACTCAAACGGCGGGACTCAATTGTCCGCAGACGTTTCGGTGCCGGGTTTTTAACGAAATTTTGGTTTCTATTTTCGAAGAAATTAGAAAGTATTTTAAAAATGACTCGTCATGCAAAAAATGCAACGGCGGCTTCAGTTTACACCTATCATGAACGCAGAAAAGATGCTAGTGTTTCTGGTTATGGAACTTTACATGAACGTTTGGGAAAGGATTCTATGAAATCATTTGATTGTTGTTCTCTTAGTCTACAACCTTGCAGGTTCTTACTTATTTAATCATTCTTTACTTTCTAATTTAGAGAACCGTTAATTTCGCCACAAGGACATATATTTGATCGAGAGGCAATTTTAAATTATATTTTGGATCAAAAAGAAGCATACAAACGTAAATTGAAAGTTTGGGAACAACAGAGACGAATTGATGAAGAAAAAATTGAAAATGTAAGGATGTTATTTGTATTCAGAATTCTTTTTTAAAATTTTTTTAAGGCTTTAAAGAAAGAAAAAGATAAAATGAAAGAAAAATTAATTGCTTTAGAATCAGCCCCTTTACCCCAAAAAACACAAGTTCCGTCTACTCCAGATGTTCGACCATTAAAACGTCCACAAAATGATAAAATGGAAGGGCCAAGCAACAGCAAAAAAGTTTTTGAAGAGGAAAGTATTTCAAATATGGAAGGGGCAAAAGCAAAAGAATGGAAAAGTTTTTGGGTGCCTGTTCTTTCTACAACTGCAGAACCTGATCGAATTGAGAAACCGGTCTTTTTTATATTTTTCCTAAAAAGATTTATTGTCATTGGGAATTCAAAAAATTTTTTTTAATATTTTCCCTACAACCCCTTTAATTATTTTTGTTTATGTCAATTCATATTTTTTTAAGTCAAACAAAATTCTTTGTCCAATCAGCGGTGTAGAATTAAAATTTAAAGAACTTCTTCCAGTCAAGTTTACCCCGATTGATGAGAGAATTGAATTTAGTAAATTAATTGCTATGAATGAACGTTATATTTGTCCAATATCTCGTGATGTTCTTACAAACAGTATTCGTTGTGTTTATTTAAAAACATCGTTAGTTCATTTATTTTTTCAAAAATTTTTTATTTTTTTAGGAAATCTGTTGTTTGTTCCCCTTGTATGGAAAAAATTATTCGATTGGACATGATTGATCCCCTCTGTGGAAAGTCTCTTCAAGATTCAGATGTAATTGAATTAAGTAGGGGTGGAACAGGTTATGCAGCGACAAATGATTTGAAGGCGAAATTGATTAGACCCCAACTTGAATTACAATAATGATTTTAGAAGTTATTCTAATTGTAAGGACTTTTTGTGTTTTTAAAAATTTTTTTTTAATTTTTTGGAATTTTATAAATTAAATTTTTGGAATCGTTTTTGACAAAAAATTTCTTTTTTAATTTTTATTTATTTTTCTACAATCAACTAATTTCATTTTCCCATCTTCTAGAATAGCCAATAATACATTTGGTGGTGAATAATAAACAAGTTTCTTTACCTAGATTTTTAAAAAAATACTTTTAAAATTAAATTTAAAAATAAAAACCTTTCCATTAAATAAATATTTTTCTAAAAATTCATTAATTTCTATAATTTCTTGTACTTCAAATTCACATTCCCATTTTTTAAAATCATCCAAATTTATTTTCTCTTGTTTATTTTTTCTTTTAAAATATATAATTGCAATGTACAAGAATATTAAAAATGAAAAATATAAGAGAACCAAAGCAACAACTAAAAGACGTTTTTCAAAGTTGTATAGACGTAATAAAACTTCATCAACTTAAAATAAAATTTTGAGAGTTAATTTTAAAATTAAATTTTAACTAATAAAATGTTAAAGAGACCAAAAGCCTTTTGTTTTCCCCCAATATTTATTTTAAACCTGCTTTTGGATCAGCATTTTTCCAATTACCCGCCGGTTTTTGTCCACATTCATGCTCCAAGTAAAGCCTATAAAGAGGATCATAATTGCCAACCATTGCTAAGACATAGGCATTAAAATAGTTTAAATTGCTGGGTTTTTTAGAAGAAGTTGATTTTTGTTCTTGATATTTACATAAAACTTTACTGTTATAAATTAATCTTCGACTTTGAAAGGAGACACATTGGCGTATATAACAAATAAGAGAATCTCGTATCATCTGAATTTTAAATAAAATATTCTTCAAGAGATCCCTAAATTTTTAGACCTGTAAAGTCTTGCCTAACAAAAAGAAGTTTGTAAAAAACGACCGGTTTAGTGCCGGAATAAGAAAGTATGTAGGTATTTTTAATTTACTTGAAACAGCATTGACCAAGCTTTTCATCAATAGATGCCTCGAGTAACGTATTTGGAGCAAAAATGATAACTTTAAAAATTGCCTTAACTCCATCTACATGAGTTTTTATTGAAAAAATGAAAACTTGGACTATTTTCTGGCAAATTTTATGGGCTTTTTAATGGGCCCAAAAGAAAATTTTTTTGAAAAAAAGAAAACTTCTCAAATACTTTTCTAGCATAAAAATAAATAAATTGAGATTTGGATTGTAGTTATTTAACATGAACAGAAATAGGTCCATATTAATGAGTAGTCAATAAGAAAGGTGAGGAAGCATACAATATCGGTGAAAGGTTTAACTGTAAAAAGTCTAATTATATCGCCCTTCTTAAACCCGACTTGAGAAAATATTAGAACCCCTTAATAACACAATAATTTATTATAATTTAATATATACAATTACAATACATATGTAGCAATACAATACAGTAAAATACAATTATAGCGAAAACGAATGTCGAAATATTTATACAATCATGAGGAAAATCAATAGGGTGAAATATCTCAATTTTATCTTTCACATTCCTCATTCCCAGTCATATGGATGCTCAGGGATCCTGTTCTCGGTGAGATATGCGCGCAGCATCTTCATTATCCAGCTGTAGTCTGGACGACCGTAGAAACGCATCTCGTCTATATGCCTCAGGATAGTGATGAATTCATCAGGGCAACCAGCGACGAGGGCACGCACAGCATCAGTTCGCACCTTCAGTGGATTGTTCGGGAGTCGAGCTTCTTTGAACGTACCAATCTGCAAAATCAATTAATTATTTAGTAGTTAAGAATTTCTCAAAAATTCGTACCGCATCCATGTCGCCGACACCGCTCCAAGGAAGTTTACCGGCATAGATTTCGACCATCATGTAGAACCTAGTAGGGAAAAAGTTAGAATTTGAAGGAAAAAAACTCGTCTATCAGTGACTTACCAGGATTCCATGTCATCCTTACGTGCGTATTCTCTTTTGATGTGTGCTGATGTAGCCGCATAACGTGGAGTCCCTCGGAAACGTGCAGACTCCCTTGGACGCATCAACGACCCATCTGAGTGCATGAACTTTCTCGCGATCCCAAAATCAAGCACGTAGATTATTTGCTGTTCTCCCTCTTCCTTCCGTCCGGTAGTCGTGTTTGCCGGCTTGATATCCCGGTGGAGATATCCAATGCCATGAAGAGCCCGTAGCGCGTTGACCATCTGAATTGAGACGCCGATCGCTGTACCAGGAGAGAAGCGTCGACCAGGTCGAGCTTTGACGAGTTTGTCCAGTCCTGGGCCAACCAGTGACATCCTAAAAGAAAAAGGTAAGTTACTGCTTAATTTACTGCTCCCTAAAAAACCCCGTTCTACCCGTATAGTATGTAATCCAAAATTCTTACACGATATAGTTGAAGGACACCTTTCCAGCAGGTCCAATGGTCTGACTGTCCCTGCCGATGTCGAAGCACTTAGTGAAGTGATGGTCGTCCTTTATGCGGTGCAGTTCCTGAAGAACATGGGCCTCCATTGCTAGTAGCGGCATTGACGCATCGACTGGCTCAGTTTTGAGAGCCCCTTCCCTCAAGCCGAATTTGCAGTGGTAGACAGCTCCGAATGCACCGGCACCAAGCTTTTTGATGATCGTCCATTTCTCCGCAACTTTCATCCCTGGCGATAACTCGACGAGCTGCGGCGGCATTCCTGAAGAATCTGTTGAGAGCTCCGGAAATGAGATAAGCGCGGGAAGGTATACAGATGACTGAAAAGGAAAAAAGTAATTGATGAAGATGAACGACCAAGATAAACTAAAAAACTAAACCGTACCTTGGAAGATAACGTCGTGACGAGCAAAGCCAAGTGTGCCAAGAGCCAAGCAGGTTAGAGACAGCGACCAATGCAAGCAGCGTGAGTTAATTGGGTGTGGTTGTGAACAGCAAAAAAGTGTTGGCTTTTATAATCTTACTCCTTATTGAGTCACTATAAATTCTAATAAACCGAAAAAAATAGACTTTTTACAGTTAAACAATGTCCGTATTGAGCATTTCTTGACAGCACCGTTATGGGCGTAAATAAATAAATTTTAAATAAACTACAATCCAAATCTCAATATATTTTTATGCTAAAGTTATTTTTGAAGTTGTCAACAAGAAGAATCTTTTCTCTTAATGAGCTTTCCCTTCTTTTAAACTTATTAAAGAGCTTTTCTAATAAATTCTAATAAACCGACCCTCTAGGTGACGGTTGAAAAATTACCCGACCGGTCTCACCACTATTCCTTCCAAAATAATTATTCTAAATCATAATCATGTTATTTGTTAAACTAATAAAAAAGCATTTATTTTTTAAAAAGAATTAAAAAGATGTTTTTAAGACTAATCAAAATTTATTTAATGGGCAAAAGCATAGCCGTTGTTATTGCTCTTCCTGCTTCATTTTCAACCAATACAGTATATGAACCTTTAAATTATTTTAAAATTATTATTTTTTAAATTTAAATAACCATAATGATGATTACAGACATATTTAATTGTACATCTACATATATCTAAATAAAAAATTTTTTTTTGTAGAAGAAAAAGTCGAAAAATGGGAGAAATATATCAAGGATTTACCGGCAAATGATAGGGGTGCCGAAGAAGCTATTTTTGCTAGATATGCCATAGAAGAAAGGCATTTTTTAGAGTGGATAGATTCAGGAAGAGAAGCTATTGATGATATAGAAATAGTCCTTACCGAAGGGTCTGATGGTCGTAGTACGCAATCAGAAGTTTCGGAAGAGATGGGTGTCGGCCCGAATAGGACAAATCAAGCGCGCCGAAATATAAATGTAGAGGAACTCCCAATTAGAAATGAACAAATGCTTCCTGCTCATCTTCCGCGGACTAGACTTCCGGAATTTTATGGAGATACTCTCAGATGGCCGGAGTTTTGGCAAGCCTTTGAGAGAACAGTGGATTGTTTGAATATTGATAACGGGCTCAAGGCCCACTACTTGATTCAGTGTCTTAGAGGAAAAGCCAAACGGGCAATTTTGGGCTACAGGCCAATATCAGAGCATTATGTGCCTTTGAAAGATGCCCTTATAAGACAATTTGGGAACGAAAAGGCGATTAGAGATACATTACACGCTGAATTGATTAGCCTACCAGTAGCTAATGAATCAATTGGATCTTTGCGCTCATACCTAGAGGAGGTTGAGCGGATTTGTAGATCGTTGACAGCTATGGGGTACTTGGAAGATGAGGCAATTGTAATAATGGCAATAAAAAATAAATTGCCGAGAAATATTGTTTTAGAACTTCTAAAGATGGAAAAAAGTGAGAAAAATGAATGGAACGTCGATAGACTGAGGCAAGGATTGGCCGATATTGTGTCATTAAGGGAAGAGGCACAACGATGCACCCAAAATTTAAATATGCGATCAGTTCAAAATCGCGGAATTATCCCGATTAATGGTGGTAACCAAAGAAATTTTAACAATAACCGTGTACAGGGGAGAAGATTTGACTCTGCTAGAGTATTTTCGTTACAGACACGGCAACGACAGCAAAGAAACGAGAATAGGAGTAATTTCAGATGTCTCTTTTGTCAAGATCAGCATTTAGCAGGAAATTGTACGCGGGTAAAATATATTCATGCTAGAATGCGAATGCTTTCAGAGCAAAATAGATGCTTATTATGTCTAAAAAAGGGTCACGCAAAAATAGATTGTAGAAATAAAATTAGATGTAATGTTTGTAATGGGGATCATAATCGTATAATTTGTCCCAAACTTGTTGAAAAAGAAAGGAAAGGAGAAGATGAGGGTAAAAGTGAAGCAAGAGAGAAAAATATAACGAAAGCTAATGTACTTTCTGTTAAGAATAGAGATAAAAACGAAGTATTATTGATGAAAGCTGATTTTAAAATTTGTGCAGACAATGCAATAACATATTCAGCTACAGGTATTTTTGATTCAGGCTCAACGGTAAATTTTATTAGCGATGAAAAGGTTAGAGAAATGCGTTTAAAAAAGATAAATAAGGCAGATTTGAATATTTACCCGTTTATGCAGAAACAACCAACACGTTTAGGTACAGCGTGTTATTTAGTTAAAATTTTAACAGATAGAGATGAAACGGAAGAAATTGTTGCCTATAAAATAAAAAAGAATTTAATGCCGAGTATAAAATATGCAGATATCACAACTGGAGAAATTAAATCATCAGAAATTGTCCCTGATATATTAATTTCCATAAAACACTTTTGGAGATTTTTCAATCAAGTAGAGCATCTCTCGGACTATTTATTTAAAGTAGAGACGTCTGTAGGACCTATTATATGTGGAGAAATTATAAATAAAGACAAAAAGGAAATATCTCAAAATAAAAATTTAGTAGCTATTTTGGGATCAAAGGAAACGAAAGAGGGAGAGGATATGAATAATTTTTGGAATTTAGAAACGATAGGTGTAAGAGACGACCCTAGAAATAAAGATGATGAGGTTGCTATGAAATTTTTTGAAGACACGGTTAAAAGAAGTGAGCACGGTCGGTATATAGTCAAATGGCCATGGAAGGTCGATAAAAGCAACTTGGCATCAAATTTTTCCTTATCATATAAGAGGTTTTTAAGTCTATTTGAAAAGTTAAAGAAAACACCGGAATTATTTGAAAAATATGATAATATAATAAGAGATGACGAAAAAAGAGGAGTGATAGAATTGGCAGAACGAAATAAGGATAATGTCGAACATTTCCTACCACATCATCCTGTTATCACTCCTAAAAAGATTCGAATAGTTTATGACGCATCAGCCCGAGTTAAAGGGGGTAAAAGTTTAAATGACCATTTATATCGTGGTCCTATAATTATGCCAGATTTAGCTGGCCTTCTAATACGTTTTCGAATACCAAAGATAGCGATGTGGTCGGACATTGAAAAAGCCTTTCATGCTCTAGAATTGGACCCAGAAGATAGAGAAGTTGTTAAATTTATCTGGGTAAAGGACATTAGAGAACCAATATCGTTAAAAAATATTCAGTACTATAGATTTGCGAAAGTTCCTTTTGGAGTAATTTCGAGCCCATTCCTTCTTTCTGCGACAGTAAGCCATCATTTGGGATTAGTCGATGATCCAGTCGCTAAGATAGCAAAGAAGAATGCCTATGTTGATAATTTACTTATTGGTGTTGAAACGAAAGAAGAAGGTCGGGATGTTTATATTCGTTTAAAAGAAATTTTTAAATTAGCAGATATGAATTTGAGAGAATTTATTACCAATAACGAGCAGTTAAATTCATCACTTCCTATAGAGGATAGATTAGAAAAGAGCGAGCCTAAAGTGTTAGGAGTACCATGGAATATTAAGAATGATAAAGTAATTATTAAATTCCCTCTAATAAATTACGTTAAAATAACAAAAAGAAATGTACTCTGTCAGTTAGCAAGTATTTTTGATCCGCTCGGTTTTGCGTCTCCAAGCTTGTTAGAAGCAAAGTTATTCTTCCAGTCATTATGGGAAAGTAAAAAAGAATGGGATGAAAATCTACGTGAAGAAGAAGCTAAGGAATGGATAAATATAACCAAAGCTTGGGAAACACCTGATATTGAATTGGATAGAAGAATAATTCAAAGTGAGTATAGATGCCAACTTCATGTATTCTCTGATGCATCTAAGAATGCATACGCTGCTTGTGTTTATGTACTAACGAGAAATATTGACACCACAATGGTCCATTTAGTTTATGCTAGAAACAGGCTAAGGCCAAAGAAAATGCCTATAAGTATACCAAGAATGGAACTATTAGGAGTAGTAATCGCGACACGAATAATTAAATTTGTAGAAAGACAAATAGGAATTGAAGTAAATGAAAAATACCTTTGGTGTGACTCAAAGTCAGTTCTTTATTGGATAAAAAACAATCAAGAAAAAGAAAAATTTGTACAAAATCGAATAAAAGAAATAAGAACTAATATTGATTTAAAATTTGGTTACGTTCCTACTGAAGGTAATCCGGCAGACATAGGGACTAGAGGCTGTACGCCATTAGAGTTACGAGCAAATAAACAGTGGTGGTATGGCCCTGTTTGGTTGGAAGGACCAAAAGAAAACTGGCCAAGTGAACTTAATTTCCAAATCAATGAAGAGAAAAGTGAGAATGAGTTAGAAGAGAGAACGGCAGGAATCAATATTTGCGCTAATAATTTCAAGGATGAAAATTTTATTGAAATAAATGATTGGAGTAACTGGCTCAGATTAATAAGGTGTATAGCACGTGTTTCTAAAATAGCAAAAAATTGGTTAAATAGATGTAAAATTAAAATTACTAGTGAAATATTGACGAAAATAGACAAAGAAAATTCGATTAATGTTACTGATATGAGAGAAAGTGAAAAAATAATTTATAGAATGGTACAAAAATCCTTAATAAATTCAAATAATAATATAAAATTAGTGAAAGATTCTGATGGTATATTACATTTACAGTCCAGAATTAATAATTGTGAAGCTGATGATGGGTTTAAACACCCGATAGTACTTCCTAAAAGTAACCCAATTATTAAATTGATCATGAAGTATGAACATGAACGACTCTTACATTCTGGAGTTGATGCAACTCTTGGAGCATTCTTATCCAAGTTTTGGGCCCCTTGTAGTAGAAGAGATGCGAAAATTATAGTAAAAGGCTGTAAAAAATGCCAGAGAATAATTGGACCAACATTTTCACTACCTGAGATGCCAAACCATCCTAAAGAGAGAGTATGTATATCAAGACCGTTTGAGTCTGTAGGCATAGATTATCTCGGTCCGTCGATATGTAAAATTGATGGAAATAAACAGAAATTTTGGATTGTTTTGTTTACATGCTTTACTACTAGAGCAATACATTTAGAAATTGCCTTCGAGTTAACAGCTCTAGCTTTCTTACATACATTACGTAGATTTATAGCCCAAAGAGGAGTACCTACAAAAATCATATCGGATAATGCAAATCAATTTAAGGTTGTTTCCAAGAGTATTGATGCAAAAATAGTTGGGAAATGGAGTCAAGATAAGCAATCAGAGAACAATAAATTTAATAATTTTATCACAAATCGAGGGATAGAGTGGAAATTTATACCGGCACTCTCTCCCTGGCAAGGCGGTATATATGAAAGATTAGTTAAACTCGTAAAAGATTCTTTTAAAAAGACACTTGGATGTGCTATTTTAAATGTTGAGGAATTAAAGACATTTATAAAGGAAGTAGAAATGGCAATAAATTCTAGGCCTTTAACTTATGTGTCGACTGAAAGTGAAGGATTTTCAGTTCTTAAACCTGTAGATTTCATAATACCCAATATTGATAATAATACACACTTGATTGAAGAAACAGAAGATATAGAAGAAGAATATAAAACAGGGAGATTAAGTGGAGCAGACCAACTGAGAGAAAAATGTAGTACACTTAGGAAAGCATTAGAACGGTTTTGGAATAGATGGTCAAAAGAATACTTATTGGTTTTACGTGAAAAGTCAGGATGGTCACACCAAAATCCACGTACATCCATAAAACGAGATCCAACGATTGGAGAAGTCGTAGTAGTACAACAGGAAGGACAACCAAGAAATTCTTGGACTTTAGGAAAAATAATTGAATTAGACGGAATACCCTCTCGCAGTGCAAAAATATTAATTGGAAATAAGAAATTAGTTAGACCCATAAATAAATTATTTCCTCTTGAGGTGAATGAAGCAAGTGAACCGAACGACGAAAATAATGAAAAAGAAAAGGAAAAAGTTGAAATAAAAACTAAAAATAGAATCAATAATCTAACCGACAATACAAATAAAAATATAAGTCCTCATCCTATGATAACGAGATCGAAAAAAGCACTTTTATTGCAAATCGTGCAATTTTTATCAATATTTATTTTAGTATTAACACAAGAAAGAGGACCACTAAGGAATTGTAGAGGTTGTAAACTTATATGTAAGGATTATGGAATTAAAGTTATTGGATTACCCGAAACAAAGAAAATAGAAATTTGTTGTATGGGTAGCTGCTTACTAGAAACAAACTCAATTAGTATACTTAAATTTTCACTCCCAAAAGATGTTACCCCACTAGAATATAAATGCCAAGTGACATTTTGGGACAGATGGAGGAAATATAGAGATCGAATAACTTGTCCACCAGTAGATCCATGTAAAAGAGTTGAAGGATTTTTTGAAAGAATTACAAATCCCCAATGTGAATCTTTTGAAACCTTAATCTTAATTGGTACATTTACTGGAATTATTTTGAGTATTTCAGTTGGATTATTAATGTTTTTGTGTAAATTATTTATTATATTCGGATGGTTGACACATTCTATTTGGAAAATAATACAAACAATATTCAGAGTTTTTAAAGGAAAAGGAGAGACTAAAGTACATGAATCGAGTAAAAATTTAATTGGTAAATCAAAAACAGGTGCGAGGAATAGTAAGAAAATAAAAAGAAACAGACGTTTACACAAACTTGGGATAGTTGGATTAATACTTTTCGAACTCATTGGATCAATTATATGTGAGATAGAAGTTGTTTCGATACAAGCTAAATCAGAAGACTGTCAAAGGAAAGCTGGTAGCTATTCTTGTAAAATAAATACTGTTAATACATTAACTATGCTTCCTGACGGTCAAGTTATTTCATTATCAATTAAAAATGAAAAAGGAATGCTTATGGGAGAATTAGAATTTTCAATGCCCGGTTTATCCATCCAATGTAATCAAAAAACGATAAAACATCTGCGGTCATATGAAATAAAAATAGGGTCAGTAAAACGGTGTCCGGCTGACGGAAGCTGTAAAGCTGGTCGTTGTATACATATAAGAAGAAAAGAGAAAGTACCCGAATTAAATGAATGGTCAAATAATCCTGGAAACGCATATTGTATAGAAGGGCAGTCTCTTTGGTCCTATCAATGCGGATTACCAGGATCTGCTTGTTATTTTTATCAAGTATATGCGATTAAAAAGTCAGATAAAATATTCGAATTAGTATCATGTCCGACATGGGATTATCTCATAGATTTAGACGTTGGTCTTATTCTTAATGGAAATCTGACAAAAAATAAATTTTCTTTATTTCCGGGAATGACATTCCATTGGAAAAATATAAAATTCACACTTGTTGATTTAATTGCCCCAATGGCACCAATTTTGAATAATAAATTCTTAGTAAGTGATGACGGTGTTGCACTAACTGAAAATTTTGAAACCGCACTTGAATGTGGAATTAACGCAGACAATTTTTCTTCGTGTGTACTAAATTCAAATGCCTGTGGCGAATGTTGGCTAAATCACGAGGAAGAAAGAATAGATTGTGCATGCAATGATTTATCATTAGAAGAAATAATGAAAGACCCTAAAAGAGCACTTCCCCTCGATATTAAAAGAATAAAACTTAGAAATAACGGAAGAAAAATATTCAGCGAATCAAGTTATCTTCCCGTTCAGCTCATGCTTCGAATGGAAAATTGGAGTATTGCGGCAAATATGGATATTTCTATGTGTCATATAACACCAATTAAGTTGATGGGCTGTTATAACTGTTTGGGCGCCGCATTTAAATTCACCTGTAAATCTGATTTTGGTAATCCTTTAGCCGAGATTAAATGTGAGAGTGGTAATGTTTTCACTGGAAAATGCTCAGCTAAAGGCATAAATCAAACTGTAGCCTTATCGTTTAACAAAGCACTAATTAACGAGAATTGTAACGTAGAATGCCCGGCAGGCATAACTAATTTTACACTTACTGGTACACTCGAATTCATTCTTCCAGAAAAGAATAAATTAATTATAAAAAATGGAGATGTAAAAATTTTAGAAAAAGATAGTATTTTTGATATTTCTAATATCCAACTCCTCGATATGAACGGAATTTTATGGGAGTTATTAAATCTCAAAATTATTGGCATATGTCTTATAGTACTACTCTTGATCTTTATCGCTATAAAATTATTTTTAAAGTATAGTCCTTTCTTCAAAGCATATAGATTGATTGTTACAATATTATTAATCATTTCTTTGGCGGGAGGGCCGCATTATACAATGGCGGAAAGAAATGAACACCGCCTTTTGGCAAAAAGATATGACCGACTTCTCTCGAAAATAGAAAGTAGGAGGGAAATAAGGGAAATAATGATTCAAATTGATAGCCAAAATTTCTTTATAATAAACGAAAAAATGAGAAGAAGCTCATTCTCAAATAATTTTAAACAAAAATATTTCCCAAAAATGACTATAATTTCCTTAGCTAAATTCGCTTCTAATCTATTTGATTGTAGAGAAGAATTAGCAATTTGGCGTCTTCATTCTTCTCCATTTGACCGTAAACGCCTAGAGCGAGCTTTAATCGAGGTAGAAATTAATGGAGGGTGGATAAAAGCCTGGAGTAACGGCCCACTTGAGATTAGTAATTGGCTTTTTGTGACCATCCAAAAGAATTGGGCAATAGTTTGTGATAAACCTGAGGAGGCCGTGGTCCCCTCAGGTATGAAAAAGTCTTGGTGGTCTGGAAGTTGTACCCAGACTTTTGAAGAATTAAAAGACTATCTAACGGAGGATGAGGATGGGGACACAATAGTAGGTCCGGGAATCCTCCGCGAAGATAACGTTCGGGAAACAAGTGAATTCTTTCCCTACTCTAGTATTTTTATTGAGGAAAATAAAGCTGAAGAAGAGGACAATTATTACCCGAGGGTCGTAGAAGAATTACCATGGTTTGAAGTCCAGGCCGAGGCACCGGGCGAAGAAAGTGGTACGGTAAAAGGAATCGTTGCTGATTTGGAAATACCTGAGGGAATAATTGAGGAATTAAAATTTGAATATTTTAAGGGAAAGAAAGCCAATGCACGAGCTGTTGTACAACCAGAAAAGCATTTTGATGTGCATGGTCGTGAAGTTGCTAATATAGAAGTGAAATTCAATTTACGTTTCAAAATGACTGGTATTGGAATGCTCATGTTTTTACTTATTATTGGAGTAGCTAAAGCAATACCGGAAAAAGATGGCCCATTAGATGAATCTGAAATTTGGGACAAATACATAGATAATGACAATGAAGAACGTGGGAGTGCTAAAACAGGTTCCATTTTATTAAGTGGAACAAATAATGTAAATCAAGGTTTAGTAAGTGCAACCTTGTCCGAAGAGCAAATGCGTTCTCAAATTGAAGCAATTGTTCAAGATTTAATTAAAAAACCATCTACTTCTTCAAATCCTTTATTTAATTCTGTTGTTTCTAATAATTCTAATCTGCTAACGACACAACAAAATATGATCCAACCACACATTTATCAACAAATTCCAAATTATCAAAATCAATCAACATCACAGCAAATATATCAAGCTCAATTTAATGCACCACAACCTTCAATACCAATACAACAACATAATATTAGACAAGATTTAAGAAGAAACGCCGGAGGCGTAATAAGGAATCGCCGTCGCTGCTTCAATTGTTTAAATATTGGCCATTTAGCCAAAAATTGCTCTCAACAAGTAAATACTGCAGCAATTCCACCATCACCACATACTAACCGAAATTCAACAAATCGAAATGCTAATTCCCTTCAAGGCACAGCAATAGAACTACGTAATTTGGGCAATCGTAGTAACAACGAATTAGTAGCCCAACTACTTTGGGCTCTTGCACGACTTCTTGTTAACCATAGTGATGGGTCTACTTTTTCTTGAGGCGCAGTGTCATCAAAGATGACGAGAATTTAAAAATAAAGAATATTTAAAATATAAATTTAAAAATGATGAATCATTTAGCCAAATAAAAGAAAAGAATTTTAAAGAAAATGTTCAGTTTTTCAGTTTTTTCACTTTTTCACTCTCTTTTTCCTAGTTTCTTGCTTTTCTAAAAATTAATAAAATTTTCTCTTTCTTTGAAAATAAATAAAATAAATTTGGAAATTTGAAGTTTAAAAGATTTGGAAATTTAAGTTAGAATTTAGAAGAATAAATTTAATTTGATTGCCCTACAAGAGGTAGGAAGGTGTTAAAATATCTTAGTGTTGATATTTTTTCACAATTGGTAAATAAATCTTTCAAAATTAACTTGTATAAAGGAAACTTTTAAAAATAAAAAGAATAAATAAATAATATAGAGAATTTTACTTAATATATTATCAAAGTTAAACTTTTCTTCGGCTAATTTTGAAAATATTACCAGACCTGCACAAGGTCAAGGATTTTTCTATCCGTGTCCGGATATGTCCCTGGAGTTAATATCCATATCCGTTTATACCCTATCCGTTATTAAATTTTCTATATTTAATTATTACCAGAAGTGTCTTCCAAAATTACATCATCAAAAGTCAGCTTTTCATCATTAAATAACCAACAAACCTTTTTTAAATAAAAATTAAAAATAATTTTTTCTGAAAAAACTTTTGGTCTAGGCGATCCTAATATCATACAGTCAAAAATTGCTGTAGAGCCTTCAAGGCAACGAATATCAGAAAAAACTTTGAGAAATTCTGGTGGTTGAAATAAAGAATTTTTTGTAAATTTAAAATCAGGAATTTCATAAAGTAATTGATCGACTTGCTATTAAATAGTAGTAAATATTTTTTAAATTAAAAAAAATATTTTTTTCTTTTACTTTTGTAAGTGGTTGATTTGGTATTAAATTACTAAAAGTTTGTCGATGCCTTAATGATGATGAACTTGGGGAAATTAGCAATTGTGAAGGATATTGTTGTGTTGGATTGCTTAATATATTTTTAAATTAGTGAATATGAATGTGTACTTACAAATTAATGTCTTTATCATTCCAAAACATATTTTTGGCACTTCTTAAAAAAAGAGAAGAAGGGTTATTTAAATAATTGAGATATTAATAAAAAGACCGGTTAAAACTTTGTGTATATTCTCTTCTTCCAGGTTCTCCCTTCCTCTTGAAAGAATAATAATTGGCAAACTGTCGAGAAGATAAAGAGGAGGAGCCAATTCCACGGCCATAACTATGCCCATTCATTTATGTTGAAAATATATAAACACTTGAATATTATCTACGTAAAATTACTTTTCCGGAAGCAATCCGGAAACAAATAATATATACTATTTAGTATGTTAGACAGTGATTTAAAGAATATAATTCTTACGAAAAGATGAGGAAGGATTTAGAGAAAATCAAGATCATCTTTACTTATCAACACAGCTCTACTAAATGTTTACTCATTAATAGGAGGATGAATAAATAAAGGAAAAAAAGTTCTCAAGTTCATTCTTTGGTAAACACAAAAACGACTGGAAGTGAGATAAAGCTCAAGAAATCTTATAAAAAGCCCTACAAAAGAATAAAGTTCTTAATAAAATCGATAAAACTTGTAATGAACTACTTAATTTTTATAAAAATCAAACAAAATTCCACCTAAAATTTTAAGGGATTTTAAAATTAAAAATAAATTTTTTATTTAAAATTAAAAAATAAACAAACAAAAAATAATTATTTTAATTTATCAAAATAATCAAAAGCCTTTTCATAAGCATTCTTTGTTACATTTAATAATGGATGTATTGGCTCCTTAAAATTAAAATCTGTATATTAAAGTAAATTAAATAACCAATAAATTATTTTCTCCCCCAATTATTTCTTCATTTGTTTTAGCAAAAGATTGAGCTATTGAAAGGCCAGAAAGTGCATAACAGGTATGATATAAATCAACTTGTCTATATTTAAATTTAAAAATTATTTTTTTAAAATTAATTAAATACTTTTCAGGTTTATCTCTAAACCCTCCACAATTATTTTGTGAAATTTCCAAAATATATTTTTGTAAATCAACAACATTAAAAAGACATTTATCTTCCTCTGTTGAATTTCCTTTATTAAATATTTCATTTTCAATAGCACAAAAACAAGCTGATAACCAATAAGAATAACAAACATCCACTAATTTGTTTGTACGGCCCTAGAAAATTTTTAAAAAATTAATTTGTCTAAAATATTTACTTGAAATCCCCCTTCCAACTTCATTTGTCTAAATACAAGCCAACGTAAAGCTGATTGAGTGTCAATTAAATACATTTTTTGCATTAAAGCAAATGTAGCTAGAGCACAAAAAGTATAACCCCCATGTGACTCACAACCAGGCTCTCCACCAAAACCGCCTTCATAAGTCTTTAAATAATTTAAAAAATTATTTTTAATTCCAAAAAAATTACTTGACAACGTGTTAACCAAGCAGACGATCCTTCAAATAATTCTTCCAAATTAGGCAAATTACACAAATAAGAAACAGTAAAAGCACAATAAACTGCTCTTTAAAAATAATTAAATTTTTATTAAAAAATTAATTTACCTAACATCAATCTCTCCATCTTCATGAACACAAAAACTTCCATTAGACTGTTTCATTGATGAAATAAATTCTTTTAATTTGTCCCGTTCAATTGATTTTAAAGCTTCATCAGTTCCAATTTCAACTAACGTCATTACCTTTATAAATATTCTCTATTTAATTTAATTTTAAAATATTTACTGCAGCATAAGTAGTAACAATATGTGGACAATGTCCGGGGGCCCCAGCATATCCACCAGAAGATTTACACAAATTGAGAACAGAAATAATTCTTTTTTTACATAAATTAATTTAAAAAATATTTTTAAAAACCTATTAGCCAATTCTTCTTTTAAATGTCCACCAAGTAAACGTAAACTATGAACACCCCAAAAACATAACCAGGCTCTACTTGAACTTAACTCCTTTTTTAAAAAATATTTTTTAAATTAATAAAATAATTTTTTTACAGAATATCCTCCAGGTAAATTATTTAATAATCCCAAAATAAAATTAATATGTTGTTGACGATGAAGTTTAAAATTATTATTTAAATCATCTTTTGTTGTCGTTGCCCTAATAGATTTAATTATATTTTCTAATTTTATCTAAAAAATAAATTAAAATAAAAAAATATTTTTAAATTTATTTTTACTTGTTCAATAGAAGTTTGGGTTATAAAACCATCTGGATGTCCCAAAAAAGAATTTGTATCCTCTTCTTCCTCCATATTTTTCTCAATAATTTTAATAATTCGTAAATTAACTTTGTTTAAATATTATTTATTTATTTTAAAAATATTTTTAAAATATTTTTTTATAAATTAAATATTTATTTTATAAAAATATTTTTGGTAAAATTATAATTTTTTAAGAATGTTCATTAAATGCATTAATCTTTTTCTGAATTCTTTCAATATTTTGGCGATGACAAAAGAAATGAGAAATTGAGTCAAAACGATGACGGACAAAGGCACTAAAAATTAATTTAATTAAATAAAATTTAATTTTCAAAAAAAACCTTTCCATAATTCTTTTTTTGCACATAAAACAAACAACACTTTCATTAATATTTATACGTTGTTGTTTTAATAATTTAAAATTTATTTCCGTTCTATTTATTGCAATTTGTGTTAATGCCATTAATAAATTTACCTTTAAAATAATTTTTATTTAAAATAAAATTAAAAAAAACCATAGTTAGTCGAGTACAAAGTGTTTCAAAAACAGCCTTTAACGCTATATCTATCCTTGATAATGGAGTTTCTGATGGAATTAGTGCAAAGGCTTTAACTAAAAAATTATCCGAATTTTTTTAAATATTTTTAAAAATAATTTGAAAAAAAGTTGGGAGAAGTAAAAATTTAAAAAATCAAAATGCTAAAAGTATCGAACCAGAAAAACCCAAACATAAAACAAGAACCTCAATTATACCTAAAAAACATTCCAAAAACGAACCAATATTTATTTTATTTGCGTGTCTCCTCAACAATTTCAAAGCTTCTGTTATATTTGGCCTTTTCTGTGGAGAATGTTCTACTGTTACAATTTGTTTTTCTCCATTTTCTTTCGATTTTTTTCTATTAATTTCATCTCCACCAGCAACATAAGAACAAAATAAATTATAAAAAATCTATAGAAAATTTAAAAAATTTTTCTAAAATTAAAAATTACTTGAGAATTATTTAAATCATTTTCATTATAATAAATTAAACAATGTCTCTCTGCAGCAGCAAAATCAACTAATTTGTTTGTATAAATTGAAAGGGCTTCTTTATGTTGACCTAGCCGACCATAAAGAATTGCCTGTTCATCGGCCAAAACTTCAAAAAAAATTTTTTTTAATTAAAAACCTTCAAAAATAAATTTCTCAAACCTTCATCTTTTTCAATTAACTTCAACGTATCCTTCACTGTATAATATTTATCAGTCTCCAAAAATGCTCTAAGTTTTCTTCTTAAAATTACCAATTCATTATTATCAATATTTTCATCATTTGAAGATAATGAACGCATAAATTGATTATTTACAGGTAATTTAACAAATTGAGATAAAAGTGATTTAATTCTAGTGATATATTGAAGTACAAGTTCTTCATGAAATTTTGGTCTTTTATCTTCCCATTCGTAAATTATATGCTCCTTTAAATAAAATATTTTTAAACATATCGTATTTTCTCGATTAATTCCCCTGGGGAATTAATATTTCAACCCATACGTGGGATGGGGAATTATTCGAGTTTTGGCATTTGAACGTGCAGTAGGGTATTTGGGGGTGAGGAATTATTGTTTCAACCCAATCCTAGCATGGGGAATTTATCTAGAGGGGGAATTATTCAAGGGAAGGGAATTAATCGAGAAATACGTTGTTATTTTTAAGAAATAGAATAATTGTTTAAAAATTTTAAAAAAATCTGAAAAAACTACCAAATAAGGAATAACAGCAGCAGGAAATTGACGCTTCAAAAATTGTAGAACAGAATCTCTATCAAAATTTTTTGCATCTACAGAAGAATCAATACCCGTAAAAATCTTTTTAAAAAATTAATTTATTTAAATTTAATCAAAAATACTTTAACACCCAATTCAATATCTTCGGCCAAAACAATTGGAGAAAATTCCAAAATTAAAGAAAGTTGTTCAGATTTTAATTTCATTAAAAAAGTAGCTATTTTTTCAATTCCATGGGCATGTGTAGCTGCTTCAGGTTTTTTAACTTCTCTTTGAAAATATTCGAGATCTTAAATTTAAATTTTTTTAAATTGTTTAAAAATCCAAAAAAAAACATTTTCTAAACATTTTCTTCCTTTCATATAAGATTAACAATTCCTCAAACAATCCAGCTTTTTTCAAATCTTTTTCAGCTTCAGAAATAATACAACAACAATTTTTAAGTCGTAATAATGGACCGATAAGTTTTGGATTTATCTAAATTTTTAAAATTATTTTTCAAAAAGAAAACTCCTTTTAAAAAACCATTAAATAAGCCTTTAACAGAACAGTATCAATTAATTCCAAAGCTACTTCATGCCGTTTTAAAGAATTTGTTGAAAGAATATTTTCTTTTCTTTCTTCTTTGTAATCCAAAAAATGTAAATTAATTGGCTTTGAATGTTCTTGTCTTTTCTTTTTAATTCAAAAAAAATAAAAAAATTAAATTTAAAAAATACCATTGAAATAAATTTAATGAGAGCATCAACTGCTTTTTTATGAATTTCTTCATCATCCAAAAAATTTTCTTCATTTGAAATTCCATACAATTTAATTTCATTAATAAATTTTTCGGTTGAACAAGAATATTTTTCAGGAAGAAATTTTGGAAATAAATTAATAATAAATAAAAGATCTAAAAAATTAAAAAAATTATTTAAAAGAAAATTTCTAAAAAATAGATTAATGTGTTCATTGTTAGCTTTAGACAATATAATCGAAGTTGCCGACAACTTTTATTAATTAAAAAAGACCCTTATTTTACCAGTTTTTAATTCAGCATGAATATCAAAACATTTAGAAAATTTTCTTTCCAAAAAAGATTTAGCTGCAATTGACTTTTTTAAATTAACAATTTCTTTTTCATCTACAACATCAGAATAAACATTCTAAAATTAAATTTCAAAAATATTTTTCCAAAATTTAATTTACAGCAATTTGTAAAGCAATTTCGTGGTGTCCATTTAAATTTAAAAATTTTAAATTATCTCTAAGTTTATTTTGTGTATTTAATTTCCAAGCTTGTGTATCATTTGCTGCGTAAATTGTACCTCTAAAAATTATTTTAGAAATAAAAAAAAAATTTTTTCAAACCTTCTTCCAACGTTTAACATGAAAACTTTATTTAAATTAATTTTTTGAATAAAAACTGAGGGAGTTATTAAACGTATTTCAATACAATTAGTACATAATATTGCCAAAATATATGGTGAATCATAAACTAGAAAAAAAGACATTAAAAAATAAAATATAAGAAATTTTTTTATATTTTTCTCTTAAAATAAATTAGAGAATATACCAGGGCTTCGATTTTTGTGGATTTTTCCTCATTTGTGGTTTTGATACACAAAATCGATAAGGTGATTTCAATTGTGATTTTAATTCAATTTTTTGTGTTTAATAATTTTTTGCAGATTTTTAATATAAAATCCAGATTTTTGAAAATTTGAGATAGAAAACTTGGATTATACTCATAAAATTAACAAAAAATTTCAAACCCCAAATAAAATATTCCAAAATTATAAACAAATTAACTTATTATTTCCAACTTACAATCGTAAAAAATCCCTTACCAAAATCAACAATTCCCTCAGTAAATTGACAACAATTTTCTTCATTTTCAATTAATTTTGTCTGTCCCCCACTTTCCAAATCAAAAAATTCTAAACTTTTTTCATCTTTATTTAAAGCAACAATTTGTTTATCAAATAATAAACAGGCAGAAATTTGAAGGGATAAATCAGAAGAACGAGTAGGGATTGACAAAAGTAAACGAGGAAATTCAGAAATTGAAATTTGATTGAAGGCCTTTAAATTATTTTTTAAAAAATTAAAAAATCATTATTAAAATAACCTCTTTCCCGTTTGTTTGAATAATTGTTAATTTAGCAAAATAATGTTCTAATTTAGTAGAAATAAATAAACTATTTGATTGACACCTTAAAAGAAAAATTTTAAAAAAAATTCTTTTAAAAAACCATAAAATTCTTAAAGCAGAATCATCAAAATTTATAGACCCAATTTCTTCTAATTTTTCTTCAAAATGTTGGAAAATTATAAGACGATTTTTTATTGAAATTAAAATATAAAGAATGTTCTAAAAAATTTTTTTATATATAATTTTAAAATAAAAAAATAAACCTGTTGAATTAAATGAGCAAAACACAATATTTGTTTATATTTTGTAATACTGCTAATTAACCTTTTTTAAAAAAATTAAAATGAAGGATAAAAATAACAAAAATTTTTTTAATTTTTAAAGAAATTGAGGAATAAACTTAAAAAACTTTCAAGTGATTTTAGAGGAAAAGAAAATAAAATTAGGACTAGAAAATTGGATGGGCGCTAACTTGAGGAATTCCAAATTACGGAACAAACAACTCACTGAATGACCAAAACACGAAATATTCTAAAAATCAGAATATTTTTAGAAATCAGAATTTTTTTTAAAATTCTGTTTGTTAAATATTCTAATTTTTTTAAAAAGTCTTATTTTTTAAAATATTCAGATTTTCAAGAAATCCCGATTTTAAAAATATTCCGTGTTTTGGTAATTCCGTGACTTGTCCGTTCTGTGAGTTAGCTCGACACGTAAAAAATTTATCAATTAAGCCAAGCACTCCTCTAATTCTAGCTTCCTAGGAAATTTTAAATTAAATTTTTAAAATACCTGTAGGGAGCAAAAGCTTCATGAATTGACAAATGTGTATCAGTAAGGCAAATAATTTTGTCTAACGATTCTATCACAGATAAATTAATTATTTGACGTCTTTCAAAAGCGCGACAAACTTGATAATCGTAAGAGGGAATGTTGTGACCCGCTAAATTTTATGTGTAATTTTGAAAAAAAATTGTTAAATTTACATGAAAAAGTTTGTGAACAACAAATTAAATGTCCTTGTTTTGAACCAATTAATAATGTATCACCTTTAAAAAAATTAAAAATATTAAAAATAAATAGGTATATAACCATAATTTGATATAGAATTAGCTTCAAGTGGAAGTTTAGACACAACTTCTTCAATTGAATAAGCATTAAACATTTTTTAAAGGAAAGGGCTTCTTTTTAATTTTTAATAAAAACTCAATTAATTTAAGAAAAAATAAATTAAGAAAAATGTGAATTAAAAATATTCTCAAGGCTAAATTTTTCGACTAATAATAAAGGGTACAGCCCAAGTAGGCGCGCAGCTATAACGGCGCAAAGCCATAGCTTGCTTCAAGATTTACGAATCTCACCAAATTTAGTATTAAACGATTCCTCTCATCGAGTTAAAGAGATTGGTACCAAAATTGATAAGGGCCAGAAAATTTCCAGCAAGTTATGCTTTTCGCCGTTATGCCTGCGCGCCTATTTGGGCGTGTCCAATAATAAAGTTACAAAAAATATGAAAAGAACTTTTTAAAAATGATACGAAGAAAAATTTTTTTAAATCAACAAATCATCAAGCAATGTTTCTGATTTTACAAGTCATTTCATTTTTTATTGGTCAAAAAAAAATGAAAAACTCGATTTTGAGTGAAAATCCCGAATATAAAATGGTGAAAATCCCGAATATAAAAGCCGTGTATTTTTACTCATTTAGATAAAGCACTTACAAACAATCTACTCTATTCGTGCCTCTCGTCATTAATATTTCTCGTCATCCCCCGGTAGACGCTAATGATATCTTCGCTTAGTGTGCTGTTTTTGGTTGCCGCCATCTGCGCCTTGACGACTACGCCGTTGATTTTCCTGTGCTGCAAGAAGAAGGGAAAGAAGGATAATAAGAAGCCAGCAGCAAAACAGCCTGAGAAGAGCGGTGCAGGACCGGAATCAAAATCGAAGGAAGTAGGAGCAAAGGATGCAGCTGGAAAGGATGCAGCGGGAAAGGACGGAGCGGCGAAGGACGGCGGAGCAAAACCACCAGCTGCAGAACAAGTACAGAAGAAACCAGAAGATGTAAGAAATCTATTTTTAATTATTAAAAAAAATTCACATCTTTAACAGAAAAAGAAGGCCGCAGCAGGCAAGGGAGATGCCAAAAATGTCAAACTTCCTGTTACATACCACGTTGTGAAGGGAAAACCGACAAGTTCGGAGTTAGCCAAAAAGACGACAGCAACCGCTCAAATAGCTATGCCGCCGACAACGACTCTTCCGGTAGTTGGACCTGGTGCTGCATCCAAAGACAGCAAACAATCTTCTGGAGTTGCAACTGCACAAAAGGCTGGCGATGCTAAAAGTGCCACCGGTGGGTCGAAAGCTACAGATGTGAAATCGGGAACAAATGATGGCAAGTTTTCATTTAAAATTTTTTTCAATGTAAATCTTTAGATGCTCAGCCAAGTAAGAGTAATACAGCATTCGACGAAGCAAATAAATCGGCACAAAAGCTTTCTCAGAATCCCATCGATGGTGTTGAAGTTCCGCCAACGGGAGTGACGGAGACATCAAGGAGGGATGAAGGCAAGTTTAGAAGGACTTTACTAAATAAAAAATCTTTTTTCTAGGACCGCCAGAGGGTGGTGGTGATCAACAGCTATACGAGACAGTGCCTGGTGGAGAAGCTCCGAAGGAGGAAAAGCCGGTCCCTGCAGACGGTAAACATTTAAATTTTTTGAAAAATTTTGAAAAAACTAAATTTAATGTTTTTCAGAGGCTGGCGGTTCCTACGAATCGATAGGCGATTTGAATCTTGCGGAACAGGCATAATGTGTGTATTGTACGGATAATCACAAAAATATATTCATTATATAAATAGACTTGTAGTATAATATATGTATATATATTGTTGTATTGCCGCCGCCTATTCCCCTCTTATTTGTTGATTCAATTGGTTATCTCTAATCGAATGTTGTGTATTTTAATTTGTAAAAGTATAAATAGGTGAAATTAAAATCGTTTTGTTAAAGTGTATTTGTTCGAATTTATCAAAATTTCTGTTTACAGAAAATTACTTTTAAAAAAGGCATTTTAAAGATAGAGAAATAAGCTAAAATCAAAAGCTAAATTTAAAATATGCTTGAGAGAGAAAATAAGCCATTTTTGTCATAAAAATTAAACAATATCCGATACTTGAGTTTGTAATTTATTTTCTTTAACATTATAAGTTGTCTTGAATTGTTCTGGCACAGGAAATTCTGTCTAAAATTTAAAGAAAGAATTTATTTAAATTATTTTTTGTTTTTACAAAATCTCCATCAGCTCCTTTAGGCACTAATATATTCATTTCACTTGATTTACTAGTTACAATTTCTGCATTCAAAGATTCTTTGCTTAAGTAAACTTGACAACCATCCGTTTTTTGAATTGAAATTGTTGGTAAAGAGCCTAATGTCTAGAAAAGGGGAAATTTTTTTGATAAAAATAGGGTTAGGGGCCGGTTCGAAAGATCGAGTCGGGCATCGAATTTTGGCCCGAAAAAGGCTCGGTCGGGCCGGTCCGATAAAAATAAGGCCCGAAAAAATGACTTGAAAAAATGCGGCACGACTCGAAAACCCCAACCCAACAAAAATATATTTCACTAAAAGAAGGTTCTCTCGGAAATTTTGGTTTTTAATTAATCAGAGGAAGAGACTATTCAAAAAAATTTAAAAAAGGACTTCCAATTCCCCTTTTACCTGTAATTCAATACTTTGACAATTAATAACTTCCACTTGAGAAAGAAGGGCATCAAAAACTACACTAGTTTTCTTACAAGAATCAACAGTTACAGAATTAGCCTTTCCCTTTATTTGAATAACACTATTCTCACAACGAAATATATAAACTGACTTTTAAAAAAAATAATTATTTAAGAATTATTTTTATTAATTTACGTGTTTTAAATCAGCTTGTATTTGGATTTGACGATTATCTTTGTGGTATTCCTATAAATTAATAGAATATAAACTTTAACAAATATTTTTTTTAAATTTGTTGGTTTTAGAAGCAAATGGTCAACAATTTTTGTTTAATAATTTGTTCTAGTGTATGTAAAGGTTGTCAGGTAGTTGGAAATCCTCGGATATCCGGATCCGGTATCCGAACCATATTTTTCGAATTTGGATATACGGATCCGACAACCTTAGTTAACAAAGAAAAATTAAAGGCTCTGGTCAATTCATTAACCAGTGTATTCCAAAAAAAAAAACGACCAGCCCCAACTTAAAAAAAAGTCATCAATTTGTTTCTAAAAAATTAGAGAATCACCCAGGAAAAAGTAAAATATTCTAAATAAAAACCAACAACCAAAACTCACAATTTCCCAAACTTTTTGATTTTTCAATTCAATTTTTGGAGGTTTTTCAATTCCAGCCTTTCCAGACGGAGAAACACTTTTTTGGGGAGATTTTCCTTTATCAGCTGGAACAGTTGACTTAAAAAAAGTTTAAATAAAAAATTTATTAAAAATTAATTTACTTGAGTTCTAAGTTGGGGATTTTTGTGTGTTTGCATGTCTGCGGTAACTTTTTTTAATCCAGAAGTTATAGCATCCCCTTTGTTTAATTCAGCAAAAAGTGCTTGTCTTCCTTGATCTTTACCCCCACCACCGCTTTGTTTGTTAGCCATTTGTGTAAGTAAATCTGAAAATTTTTATTCTTAAAATAAAAATATTTGTTAATTTCCAATTTTATTATTAAAAAATAATTAAAGTTTAATTACCATTAGAAGGCGGTGGCGGGGGAGGAGGAGCACCTCCACCACTTTTTGGTGTAGTCCCAGAAGGTTGAGAACCCTTAAAAAATATATTTCTAAATTTATTTAAATTTAACAAACAGGCGCAGAATTCCAAGACAACCCTGTAGTATGCCATTGTTTAATATATCCCTGTAAAGCAACAAAAACATCACACCAACTCTTAGCCCATTCTGAGTGATTATTGTCTCCTTTATTTTCGGATCGAACACGATTAACATAAAACATTGCAACATCAAACATTTCTTTGACATATGGACCGGGTGTTGGTTTCTAATTTGAAAATAATTAATTAATATTTTGGAGAAAAGTTTAAATAAATAAACAGTCGAACATCGATTATAAAATACACCAAATATATCAGGGCTGGGCTAATTTCGCATTTAGCACATTTCACATTTTTCAGCGCGAAAAGTTTCGCATTCCGCATTTTATTTTTAGATTTCGCCCAGCCCTAAAATATCTTTATAAAAAATAACTTTTTAGAATTAGTCACTCTGATTTTGAGCAGGGAGGATTCCCTTACCTCGTATTTAATTCCACTTCCTTACAAGGGCGTATCCAGGGGGTCGGTTTCGGGGGGGGCTAACACTGGGTGGGCGCAAAAATTTTTGGCGTTTACCTTGGCGTTCCGGACTCAAATTTTTTGTACATAAATTTTCTCCACTTCAGCGCCGCAGGCAAAATTTTTTTGAATTTTGGAAGGCCGTAGGCCAAAAAAATCACTTTTTTTTGCGCCGCAGGCGAAAATTTTGAGGATTTTGGAGCTCAAGAAGCCAGATTTCATCCATTTTTTGCGCCGCAGGCGAAAATTTTTTAAAATTTGAAGGTTGTAGGCGAAAAAATTTCACTTTTTCGACCATCCTTCTCCTAATTTTTTCCCCCTTTCCCCCATTTCGGGGGGGGCTCTAGCCCCCCCCAGCCCCCCCTGGATACGCCCTTGCTTCCTTATAAGATATTTCAATACCAAGGGTGGTGTATTTATTCAAGGTCCGACTGTATAACCAGAAAATTTAGGCATTTAAAACCCAAAAATAAATTTCCAAAAATTATAATTAATTTACATATTTTTGTACTTAATTTTCATTTAAAATTGCAAGTAAAACAAAAAATAAAAACTTAACAACTCCCAACCATCCAAGTGCCGAAAGACCTTCAGAGACAGCAGCCAAATGATTGAATACAGATTTATTTGTTTTATTTTGTTCTTTAAATGCACAAACAATTCCAACTTGTTCAACAACTGGTTGAAGTAATTGCTGTTTTTGGTTATCATTCGGCTCTGGACGGCCAATACCTTCCCAAATTGCACGGCGTTGAGAATCGAAAGCAACGGAGACTTTATCTGCCTAAAAATAAAATTTTAAACTTTCTCAAATATTTTTAAATAAATTTCAAAACCATTTGCCCAATAGGTCCACCAATTTTCTTAGAAACAGCCACAAAAGCTTTTAAAGCATTATTTACTAAATCATCATAAGCTTTAATCGAAGGAGGAACAGAACCATCTGTTAAAATAATTTATTCTAAATAGTTTCTTAAATTTTTTAATTTACTTCCACCAGCAGGAGGAGGGATAGAAGTTGGCTTTGGAGACAATCCTGGCTTATTATACAAAGCTTCTTGACGTTGAACAGCCATTTCTAAACGACCAACAAGACCTTCCAATTTATTCAAATCTGCACTCATTTTTATTTTGGGAGTTTCTCTTAAAAAATAATTTTTATTAAAAATTTTATTGAAAAATTTTTTCTTTACATGGAAAGAAAAAAAGAATTAAAAACGATTCAAATAAATGAGTCATTCAAAAAGAATTTTTGAATAGAATTTAATCATTAATTTTTGTTTTTAGTTTTGTTAACGTTTAAAAATGTGGAATCAATATTTTTAAAATAAATTTATAAAAAAATTAAAAAATATTTATAAAGTAAATGGATCCCTTAAAAAATTTTTAAAAAATATTTTTAAGTTAAAAAAATTAAAATGAAAAGAATAAAAAGTAAAATGAACACCTGTGTTTTATTTCTTAAATCTAAAGTGCGTTAATCTTTCAAGAAATATTAAAATTGAGATGGACAAAGTAATTTTCTCTTAAATCAATATCGTCTTAAGAAAATAAAAGGGAAAAGTAAATTCTTTTAGTCAAAGAAGATCCGCTTAGGAAAATATTGAGGAGTAAATCAAAGGTAAAGGAATGGATGTAAAAATCCGAGAGAGAAAATAATTTTAGTTTAAAAGAATTTTTCTTTCGACGGAAAATTCAGACAGAAATTCAGATCCTCAAAGCTTTTTATGAAAAATTTAAGAAGATAAGGAGATATTCTTGCCTCTGTGGGTGTAATTTTCTTCCCAATTTTATTTCAAAATTATTTTTTGACATTTAAAAGTAGACTTTTAAAAATACTTTAAAATGTCTCTTCTATCAGCTGCTAGAGGTGTTAGTCAAGTAATGAATCGTTGTGAGGATGCAAAATCGACAGGATTTTTAGGTAAAAATATTTTTATTCTAAAAGAAAATTTTCTTTTAAAGATTTGTCAGACTGTGAATTAATGTATATTGCTGATGCTTTATATATGGTATTGAGTGGTTATGAAATTAATAGATGTAGTTTAAAAAATAATAAATTAAAGAAATTTCCATTAAAAATGATTGCAAATTTTCCAAATATGGATGGTAAAGAAATAAAAATTTTAATGAAAAGAAAAATTTTCTTTTAGTTTTTAATTTAGAGGGTAATCAAATAACAGAATTACCCACAGAAATATCAAGATGGACAAAATTAAGAGGGATAAATATTGCTAGAAATAAATTCACTCAATTTCCAGAACAATTGTTTGAATGCAAAAAATTGACAATTTTGGATATTAGTGGAAATTTAATAAATGGTAAAGAAAAATATTTTTTGTTAAAAATTAAGACTTAGAGGTTATTCTGAGACAAATTAGAATTGGAAAAGAAATTAGCAAGAAATCAAAAAGCGATTAAATTATTTTTCAAATTTCTGCTTTAAATTTTTAAAATTTAGAAATCAATCACTTACCGTTACGTTCTTCGTTATCAACACTAAAACAATTGCATATGAAACAAAACCCAATTTGTCAAAGGCTGGATATTATTGAACAAATCTGTGCTGAGCTTGAACCACAAATAAAAGTTTTGCACAAATAAATAAATTAATTAGAGATTCGAAAAAATTTTTTTTTCAAAATTAAAATTTTGGAAAAATATAATTATTGAATATAATCCTTAAATAAATTAACAAGAAAAATTACTAAAAATTTATAAATTTAAACACAATAAATATTAAACTTTAATAAAACTAAAATTAAATTATTGAAAGCACAACTAATTAAAGAGGTTATTTTGAGACAATTTTAATTGGGAAAAAAGGAAAGGAAATTATTTTTTAAATTTAATTAAATAATTAGAATACATAAAAAATATTGGAGAGGGGGAAATAATCCATAAAATAAATTTTAAATATGGCGGTGATTTGACATTAGAGCAATAAATTATTATCAAAAATATTTGAATAAAATTGCCCGAATAATTATGAAGAAGAAACAGCTGGATTAGTGTTAATCAAAGAATTATTAAAAGCATCTACTTCATTAAACCAAAACTCGTAGCGACCATCCTGATATCGTGGAAGCATTTTTGGTTCTAGACATAATTCAAAATGTTGATAAGTATTATTTGGGGTAATTGGAAGCCAGAAATTGTTAGAGGTTAAATTATTGCCGTTTTCATCAAAATTTGTATGGATTTTGTTTGCTAAAATTGAAAAAATGAGTTTGAATGAGAGAACTTCGACTTTAATGTTGTTGAAAACAATTTTTCTATTAAGAATCCCACAATTCTACTTAAGAAGGTTAGATAAAACATTTTTCCCCCGTCTTATCCCTAAAAAAATTTACCATCGACAAATTTTGAGTTTTCATCTCCAGGCATGCCAGATGGATTCCAAGGTTCACAACAAGAATTATCGATTTCTTTGTTTATATATCCATTCTTTCTATCTTTAGAATTTTCACTCTCTTCTAATTTCCTCCAATGGCTGTTTGGATTTCCATACTTTACAAAATTGGTAAATAAAGTGCCAATAATGAGCATTACTTGTTTGTCATCAATATTTGGCCGAAATTTGGAATATAGACCCTAAGAATTTAAAATATATATGTAAAAATTCAAAGAGACAAAATAGGAAGAGGGGGTTAAATAAAAAATATTATAATACCTTTCCAACTAAATAACGCAAATCATGACAATGTGTAGCTGCATAAAAAGGCATTCGTAACCCAACAAAACCAAATTCATTCGAATTAAAATGAGACATATTATAAAGAAAAATTTTCGTTTTATTTGAAATTGAGGTTTCAGAAGGCAACATTCCTTTACAATAGCGCTGCACAGAATTATTAATCATTACATCACTATGGAGGCTTTAAAAATAATTTTTATTTAAATTTTCTATGAAATAAAATTAAACCGTAAAAATGCTGTAGACACTTGAGAAGAATTTTTAATATTAATTCCATCCAAATAAAGCCTTTCACACCGTCCACGTTTTTCGTCAAAATTTGGAATTTCTTCTGGAATATGAATTTGTAAATATTTGCGTAGAGAAACAATGTCTGATTGACGACGACCTAAGGCAGCTTTAAAAAAAAGTTTAATTAAAAATAATTTTGAAAAAAGTACCAAAAAGTAAAGCCTCAAATTCAGTAGCGCCAATAATTACTTCTAATGGAGGCCGGTCTTTTGAGGCAAATCTTTTTGTCCTTAATTCTGAAACTGGCGCTGTAATTAATTCTCCATCAATGACAGGGCAGTAATCAAGACCTATAAAATTTTTGGGGAAATCTAAAAAAAATTAGAAATTTTAACCTTTTTTATGTCTATTAAATGCTGATTTTCCAATAAGAGGTGCACTCAATTCATGAGCAGGCAATTCATGAAGGAAGGCTAGTAAAGAGTCTATATCTGAATCATCGCCTGTAAAATGATTTTTTAAAGAATATTATCTCAAAAAGGGCAATATTAAAAAAATTTCCGCCTATTAATTAGAATTTATAATTTTAGAAACCTTTCCAATTTAGTCCTCTTGCAATTTTTAAAGCTGCAGCAATAGTTTTTCTTGGTCGAACAACTGCCCAGTCAGTGCTAGCATTTCCTCCCATTAAAATTATACGTTTAAAAAGGCCTTTAATTAAATAAATTGGAGGAAAAGAAATGAAAAAAATACCATCAGATAGTGGCGAAAGGCTTAAAAGATCGATAGAAGCTGCGCCAGCACTTTGTCCAAAGGCAGTAATATTATCCGGGTCTCCGCCAAAGGAGGCAATATTCTCCTTAAATATTTTTTATTTTAAACTAACAAACCCCCTACATACTTTCACCCATTTAAATGCCGTCAATTGATCCCAAAGGCCAAAGTTTCCAGGGCATCGATCATCTCCAGTAGAAAAAAAACCAAGCATTCCAAGTCGATATTGAACTGTACAAACAATTACATCCAACAAACAAAGATTTCTTTTTTTAAAAACATTTAATAAATTTAAAAAGAAAAACAAACTGGCAAATATTCCAATCCCCATAATTAGCTGCACTGTGAATAATAAAACCTCCTCCGTGTACAAAAACCATAACTGGACGTTTGCCTTTTGGAAATTCTGTAGATTCCCAATCAGGAGCAAAAACACAAAGATTAAGGCATTTTGCCTCATCTTGAGGTTGTGGAGTTAAATAAGCATCCCAAACGAGATCCTATAAATTTTATAAAAAATATAAAATTGCTAAAAACTAACATGTTGTACAGATCTTGGACCAAATTTAGTACACAATAAAGGCTCCTTCCATTTTGTGATGGGAAAAGGCTTCTATAAAAAAGAAATGTTTGGGGAAAATTGTCGAGGGATACCTTAAATCGTTGTTTAAAAGTTCCAGCAACTGCATAGGGAATGCCAAGAAAAGCATTAACCTTCTTCCCATCGGGGGGCAACGTGAAAGTTTTACCAATGATTGGACCATTTTTTGTTTGAATAGTAATTCCATAACTACAAGGACGGCCTTTAATCCAATTTTCGTCAAAAAGAGAAAAGAACTTTATTAAAAAAATTAAAATAAATTTAAATAAAAAAAATAAAAACTTTTCCAAATGCAGAATGGGAGTATTGACTGAATATTGACCAAAATGAAGAATATGAAGCTGAGGCCGTAAAGTTATTCAAATCCATTTTTCTTCGTAACCCTAAATGACCAGAAATATTTATAGAAAAGGGAAAAATTTTGGAAAATAATTGGTCCATTATTTTAAAAAATCCGTTTAAAATTTTGATGACCAAATGGACTTAAGCCCCGTCTGATTTTTAATCAAATATTAAGTAAAAAATTGGAAAAAATAATTCTGAAATGTAAAACCCTTTCCGTCCAAAATAAAAACTCAACAGCTGATAATGGACATTGAACTAATAATATGTTATTGGTTAACCCTTTACATCATTTAATTAAAACCAGTCTGTACTCTAAAAAGTAATAATGGTGAGAAAATAAGAGCAAGATAAAAATAAGGCTGGACCAAAAAAATCAAACGGAGATAAGTAATATTTTATAAAAATTTAAAACGTCTTAATTTTAATACTGGTTATAAATTAAGATTAAATAATTTAGTAATAAAAATATGCACCGCAATATGCACTGCAACGGCGAAAAATGATTGCCACAATATTGATAAATTACCTATATATTTTTCGGTATCTTGAAAATCACAAGGCTCTTACCACCACAGAAAACAAAAATATTTAATGAAAATAACAAAAAAATAAAAATGAATATTTATAAATAAACTTTATTTCGATTGATATGGCACGTAAAAATATAATTTTAAATATTCAAACAATTGAAACAAATAATTTAATCTTTCCATCTTTATGAATAAACTTCAAACCTGAAAACAAAATGCCTTTGAGTGTGTTAAGAACATAGCCAAAAGAATTTTATAATAATAAATTTATAACTGGGATAAAGTTTAAAATATAGTAACTTATTAACAACGAGTATCAGAAAAAATTATATTAGGCAAGATTTCATAACTGGCATTGAAAGAAAAGTTCTTAATAAAGAGATAAATTTATATAATTTTATTTACTGTTATATTTATTAGTGTTTCACCGGAACCAAAATTTTGACCGGAACCGGAACCGGATCCAATTTGAGTTCCGGTTTCCGGAACCGGAACCGGAACTTTTCAAAGTTCCGGCCCGGAACCGGAACCGGAACCGGAACTTTTAAAAAATTTTTGCTAGCAAATTTTAAAAAATTTGTAGTTTAAGTAGAGTTGACTGTTCACCAACTTCTTCGGTTAACCGAAACCGAACCGAACCGAGACTTTTGATTAACCAAAACCGAACCGAAAATCGTCGACGATAAGTGATATATTTGGGTTAGAGAGTGGTGTATGAAAGGATTTGGTGGTATAAGTGTTTGATATCGGACGATATAAGGATTCAGAATTGTAAGGGGGTTTAAGGGATATCAGTGGAAGAAGGAGCGATATACGTTTTATGGGGATAAGGAAGTAAAGAAGAATATTAGGCCCATTGATGTCACACTATATAATTCAAAATCCACATTGATCCATCCAAATCATCCGTTATACCATTCAGCTATCTTTTTCAGCGCCGCAGAATTCATCATTTATTAGTCATACGAAAAATTTTAAGAATTTTAGAGGGCCAAAAAACCGTAATTACTCCATGTAAAAATATAATGATTTTTAAAACAAAATTAAACTCAATAAATGAGTTATTTGTTGAAAAAAAAATTTTAAGAGTTATTGTCCTACGATCGGGAAGCGAACCCAACTTAAAATCACTAACGCCTTGAGTGAAGCCTAAACCCTTAACCACTCGGACACCCGCTCATCAGAATGATATTGAAAGAAAATAAACATATTTCTTTCGATTTTTTTTTATTACAAGTATGAGAGTACGAGTAGTTTATTAATATTTTTTAAAAAAAATCAATCTTTAGGGGTGTAAAAAAGTTCCGGTTTGCCCGGAACCGATTTGAAAACCGGAGCCGGAACCGGAACCGGATCCAATATGGGTTCCGGTTCCCGGAACCGGAACCAAAAAAACACAGGAACTTTCCGGAACCGGAACCGGAAC